TATATATATATATCAGGCCTTTAAATGCAACATACAAAAAGTGCTTTAACCCTTTGAACTCTAAGCAGTTTTTTTTGGGAGGGGGACATTTGAACTCAGTGTGGGCTCAGTTTTCACTGCAGTATAAAGTCCTGTGCCTCTATGGAAACAGCACAGCCCTGGGTAGGAAAAGTTAAAACTCAAAAACACCATCTGTGCAGTATGACATCACCAGAAAACCAGATATCATAAAAGAAGAAAAGTGAAAGTTGTTTTTCTTTGTTGCAGAAAAATGGGATTAACATGTACAACATTGTTCCCAGTGCCTGGGGATGTTACCAGTAAGGATGCACGATATATCGACGACCACATCAGCATCGGTCCGATGAACAAATTTAGCTGATACAAAAAACGAATAATTGTCTAACTTTAGCGCCTTCTTCTCTACATTTGATATTGCTGCTATTTCACAGATGTTTTCACTTAAATGGTCCTAGACTTGAACGTTAAATATGTTGAAATATGTTTTGCTTTTGTTACATAATAAAGAAGACTATGTGGTCTGATTTGGTATGGGCTTCTTTTGAATAGTTTTCACATTCTCACAGTGCTTACTAATACTTATTTTTTCAGTGTGAACAAAAATTGAATATTGACATCAGTGATATTGGTGATACTAGAAATCTTAATATCAGATATCAGTATGGCCAGAAATTTTGATATCATGCATGACTAGTTACCAGTAATAAAAAACCAAAAACACGGTGGCTCTACATACCATAGATATTTTACTACTGCTACTTTTCTTTTATTCGTTTCCATACTTGCTCTGTGTAAACACTTCCTGCAGTTCAGCCCAATTTACCTTAAAAGTTCTTCATTTTTTGCGCTGTGCCGCCTGATTGCAGCTGAGTCTGTCATGGTTTCTCAGTTGTGCCAAGAAGTGCAGATTTTTTTGTTTTTCACAGTATCTGGTTACAGCACATGGTTAATTTTGGGGGGAATATGTAGAATAGATTTTAATGAAATACCACAATTTGAAGCTTAGATTTGGTCAATTTCCTCCAACAGAACAGCATATCACGGCATGTCTCTTCTTTTGGGAGAGAAAACATTCAAATACAATACAGAATTTAACCAACATTATTTTTATTTGCATAATATGTCATGTGACTTGTTACTATATACAGTGCAACTTGTCCTTAAGTTTACTTTCACTCATGTGCTCCTTAAAGATTTCTGCAGAAACAGAAAACGGCACATCATGTCATAGGTGGAAAGTTTCAGGACTGTCTCTTTGACTTTGAGGATTTTTTTTTCTTTTTAGTCAACCAGTCTTTTAAATCCTCTTTGGGTTTTGGGCTCCAGAGGTTTAATGTGCATATATAGGCTGTGAATGCTATAATTTTTAATATGACCGTAAAATCTATTTTACACCACAGTTTTGGCCAGCTCTCTTCAGAAAGGAGATAATGTATGATAATGTAAACGACTTCTTGATTATATAACATTAAAGAAGAAATAAGTTGGCTGCTGATTCTGATTTTAAAAAAACTGAATAGTTTTTGAACATAAGTGGTTTTTGCCCTTGGAAGTACTAATACTACAGGAAGTATCCCGTGGTGTTTTTGGCATAAGGTCACATGTCAATGTACACAAGCATGCAGGTCACCTGACATGAGGTCCTTTCAAAGGTTTCACAATAACACACTGATCCACAAGTCACAAGTCAGAACAATGCAGGAGGAAACACTTAAACATGCCAGAAAATACAGGGAAGAAGATAATTGCTAATATAAGTAAACATAGAGGTAAACCAGGCTGGATTTCATGTTTCTGAATGCACATTTGTTAGACCTCAAGGGTACAAACAATAGATTGTGATGAGTAAAAGTTTTGCTTCTTTGTAAGAAAACTCAAAACACCGTTTAAGGTCTACTGATCATATTTTTCTGGTGTTTTCAACCAGATTTCAAAGCCTTACACTGAACAAATATCCTCCACTAATGAAGACCAAGAGATGTGGTTTAAAGCACCTCACTGTGTAAAGGTATTTTGTATTATGTTGTGTCTTCAAATATTTTTATTTGGTCTTTTGCCTTTTTCTTAAGACATCACACAGAAAACGCATACATATACAGAACAAATGTACGACTGAATTAGCTGCAACACTTTCATGTTTGTTGACATAGGATGGTGTGTCACAGTGTCGAGTCATCATTAATGCGTGTGTTTTTCCTACAATGTCTAGCCAAATCTCTGCATTTAAAAAAAAAACCTTTCAGGAGAGAACAAATTGTAATACTATATGCAACAGAATTTAACCAAAACTGTTTTTATTTTGCTAATATGTCATGTAAGTTATTACTCCCTGTCTTTAAATAGTGCAACTTGTCTTTAAATTTATTTTCACATGTGTGTTCCTTAAAGATTTCTGTAGGAACAGAGAAGGGCACAACAGTATTTTTCTTGATATTAGGGCTTCTTTATAAACTCCAATTTAAATGTAAAAACTGGAGCCCTGGTCATGTACCATTACTTCTGGAGGGGAAACGAGTCTCTGGGCTTTGATGTTGTAAAACCTTTGCCATGGCAACCAGGATTATTGTAAAAGGGGCACAGTTTCTTTCACTATACAAACCACATGAGACAAAATAAGAAAAATGAGAGGAAAATATATGGGCAAAAGAATGCATGTGTTGTTGGTTTTCAGAGATTGAAACTACATAAAAAGTAGAAATGAGACGAACTCGTGAAAACAGTGGTGAAAAGGACATGAAAACCTTGTGCAGACATAAATAATCCTACCTGGTGATACGCAGACAGGATATTGTGCATTTCTTCTACCTCCTCACTGGAAATTTCTTTCACAACCAAAGTGCGGTCGTATGATGTCAGCAGTCCAACACATTTCCCCTCCTCGTCTTTGAGTGGTGAGCTGCGGGCCAAAGAAACCTGCAGTAAACAACAGGACAGCATTAAACCTATCACATTTCACAACGCTTCACCAAATTTCCTATGCAAATACACCTCAACCAGGAAAATATAGAAAAGATTGAACATATTTGTAGCCTCAGCCAGCTTTGTCACATTGGAAAATAAATAGCTGCATTAATGCACACTTTGTTTTAATACAGTTCTTGCATTACTTTTGCAGGTCTGCAGTAATGCGACTTTTATCAGGATATGCTTTAAAGTGCCTGCCATAATTGTGTTCTAAGCAAATGTGTACTGAACAGACTGGAGGCTGACTGTCTGCGCCACCTGGCACATGCAAATATTACACAAAGACATGCAAATGTAAAAGGGAGCAGGTCAATTCCTACAAAAAAAAAAGTGTCTAGTTTCTTTCAAGGAAAACACAGAAAACATTGTAAGCTCTGTGTTTGTGGGAGTCACTGTTTGCTCTTGTTACTGCTTTCTTTTGTAAAATAATAGCTTTTGTTCACAAAATGTTTTTGTGCACAAGCAAGTGCTGACTTGCAGCAGGTTCACAATAGTTTCTCTGATAAATAGATAAACCAGTTGTACTGACTTATATTGGCCTCCCACTGGTATCTGTTGGTCTGTCACAATTATTATCTGTTTGCCTCATCATAATTATTTCATCCTTTCTTATCATCTTCTCCATCACTTGAAACTAACAGAATGTCATACTTCAATCATTATTTCGATGCCGATTTCCACCTTCTGCACCTCCTTCTTCTGCTGTGTTTTATTGTGCTGTCACCTGTCTATTTCAGGCTCTTACGTTCTAATATTTGACTGATTGCATTTCAACGAGCATTCATAATGTCATGGATTATGCAGCAAACACTCCAGCTCTACTCCTGATACTTTTTGTGTTTTTTGGCTTGTGAAAAACGGGAGAGCCCATTAAAATTGAAGAAACAATTCATTGGATTTGCAAGAAAATGTGACGGTGAAAGGTCTAAATCTAACGGAGGCATAAAAAGCAAAACATTTAGAGTAATTTATTTGTCAACAAGAATTTCATGACCATGAAAGACCTAAATATTGGTATCGTCCTATATGTAGTTCGATTTTTGCTCATGTGAGTGCAGAAAAAGGTGGTCAGTGCAAATTAGAAATGGTGCTGTTACATCTGTTGTCTATCTGCAGCACATGCAGCAGAGCATCTCAGCTGAGCAGGCGATGGTGCGGAGTCAAACGGTGTCGCCACAGTTAGCTGCTAGCTAGTGTGTGAAATACTCTGATGGAGAGTTAATAAACGATGAACCCATCATTTAACTTACCAGTATACCTCAAACATTCAGTATATATAAAGAAAATTAGCCAATATATCAATATTGGATATTTTTCAATTCTTGAAATTGACATAGGCCTTAAAAGTCCTGTATCAGTCGGCTTCTAGCTCACTGTCATACCTGGTAATCTTGGTCCTCGATGCCAAAGCGCTCTCGTAGGTTTCTGAACACCTGTGGACAGTAGTCTTTGAATTTGAACTGTCCTGGAAGATTCTCTCTAAGGAACAAAAAAAGTTTTAAATTAACAAGAATGCGTTGATTTACTGTGCAGTAACATTCTTCACAGAGCAGCTGCCAGTCTCGTGCTCAACTATTTATATTATTTGACTGAATTCTTTTCAGGAGTTCAATAGTTTCCACATCAAGTAACAAAAAATTTTAAAAAAATAAAAAAAAACAAAAACTTCAAAAAAAAAAAATATACCAAAGCAGCAGCATTTTAGCTTGAAAAAAACATTTTATTGTTCTTCCCACTTCTGTTTATAAGGCTTTACACAACCCGGATTCCTGAATGGATTAAAGGATTATTGAAAGCCACTCAGTTTTCTCGACTCAATCCGTATAGAAACTGAGTCTCAAGGCAAACACGGTGTAAAGCTCAGTTTTCATAAATAATAATTATTTCGTAACATACTCTGACTGACACTCATCTTCTAGGAGTCGACCACATGTTCAGATGAATGTTAGTCTCTGTTTTTTATTGTAACTTTTTAGAGCTACACAGCCACTAAAACATCTCACTGCTTTTTAATTATGCTGCATTTTAACTTTCATATAAAGCATCATTCTTTAAAGCCTGGTGCGCAATATTGCATGCTCCATTGTTAATATTGCTGCTGTATTCTTTGCAGAGAAAAGCCCTGTTGTTCTCCGAGGGGTCTGCAATTTGTGATAAGCGCGGGCAGTGAAATAAATCATATGAGCCACAGAACTGCGTGTAATTCACAGGAAGCAGGATGAAGGTTTCCTACAATGAGGCACAGAGCGGAGCAGAGCACAGTACTTGTTGAAGAGGTGGTTGTTGACTTTGATCTTAGTGCTGGCTTTGAAGTCGTCTGGGAGCAGCATGACGGGTACAGGCACCTGGCTCAGGTCATTAATCTGCGCATGATCAATGGATAAATAGTTAATGAACATTCTCACACGCATGCAATAAAAAGGCATTGAGCAGCTCGCATATCTACCGAGTGATTGACTCCCCACATCAGCACGCTCAGCACGGGGTCACTGGCTCGGAAAACCTCCACCTTCTGCTGCACAAAGTGTTTCTTCTTGGTCTTCCTTTTGGGCGCCAGAGAGCTCAGAGGGTTGGAGGAGGCGCTGGGAGAAGACATCGCACTTTCCCAGGTGAGCAGTCAGTGAGCAGGTGTGTGTCTGTCCTGTGTATGTAAAGCAGCAGACTGGTGGAGCCAGCAGCCTGTCAGCTCCACAGAGTCCAGCAGCAATGAATCAAACAGGTGCAGCGGCGACAGCAAGCAGGATTACAGTCGGCGTGGTTTAACAATGGGCCAAATAATCTGTATTTATCTCATGCACGTGTGGATTAGTTTTAATTTGACATAACAGGATTGTGATTTGATGATTAGAACATCATTTTTTAATTAGCTTGCAAGTACTGCAACAATAATAAATGATTCTTTTGTCAAAAGTTAGTGGTGGTTTTGTGTTAAATGATTTATATTTAGGGAGATTTTTCTTCATTGTTTTTACTTGGGCCTTTTTGAAAATGCAGAAATTTCTACTTGTGACCCTAGAAGACAGTTGTGTATTTTTTTAGGTTCTCTACTTATTCAAATGTATCTTGGAAGGTGTCTCTAATGTTTGTGCTTTCTGAATGATGTTGGTAAAGTATTACCTCTCAATTTAATACGTTTAGTAGAAAAACGAAACATGTTGTTTGAGTCATGTGTTATTTATGTAGCACATTCAAAAAAAGTTCATGTGTAATATCTAACATGCTCGCAAGAGCTACAATAACATAGTTGAATTATAAAAGTTACTTTTGCAAAACTGTAATTAGTGACAGTTTTATGTTAAATTCTATCTTATTTGAGAGAGTTTCTTTACCATTTTTTTTTTTTTGGCTTGAGCCTTTCAAAATAATTTTGCCTTTTTTTCTGTACCCTTAAATGAGACCTGAGACCCTGAGGCCTCCAAATATTAGGAGCCACCATTGTAACTATTTCTCAGCAGACTTTGGGCCAGTTTCCAATAGAGAAATAAGATGAAGAAGATAATAAATTCACCGACCACGTTTAAATATTAAGGATGCCAGTAGTACAGCAGCGTCGTCTTCTAATAAATGATACATTTTGTGTTAATTCCATCTCATCTAAGAAGGTTTTTGTTTTTTTCCCAAAATTGAGCAATTTGTACTTGTGACTGCAGGGAAAATGTTAAGTAAATGTGTATTCTTCAGTATTTTCTGTTCACTTAAATCATCTTGTGAGCCTTGAACAAAGAAGGCTGAGAATCACTGTTGTAAGGTCTCTCTCATATATTGTTCTTTCAAAGTGACACAAAATAATACAAACGCCTTTTGATTTAAGAATTCAGAAAAACAAACTAAATAATAAAACAAGTTAAGATTAAGTACGACAACAATGTAGTCTTGAGGGTTTAAGGACATTTTTCTCAACCTTTTTTGCTCAAGTAAGCCTGAGTAATTTCTACTCATAACCCTACGCAATACAAAACATTTTGTGTCAGATATGCATGTTTTTCTTGGGAAAAGCACACTCTCTATTACAGCTGTTGTAATGGTTTGACTTGCAATATATAGGTATATATATTATTTCTGTGTAAATTATTCTAAAGCTCATGGTGCTTTCTTTGGCCAAACATAACATCATCTCCATAATGCTTTCTGGAAGCACCAGCCGGCAACACTGAGACTGTATAACCTTTCATGCAAACCTAATGAAGAGATTACAAGCAAGTGTGATACTGGATGTTGTTGATTTCTTCTTCTTCAAAAGCCCAGATGGACTTTTTTTCTTCTTTTTTTTTCATTTTTCAATTTTTTCCCACATTCCACTTAGTTATTGGATCCTGAAGAAAAACTATTTCATCTTGCCTGTACAACTGTGTATGGACAGCAAAATGACAATAAACTTGATTTGATTTGATTTATTATAACAGCCCATACAATCCACAAAAAATAAGTCCCTCAAGGACATTTTTGTAATACTGTACATCAGCATCAGTCTTGAAAAGTAATAATGCCCCCAAATTCTTTAAAACCATAAAGTTTTCAGGCACTTAAAATGTCCGAAAAGACACTAGTGTCTGCTTCTATGGGTAATCACTAAAGGTACCATTAATATTAACATAAATAGAATGTCATATTTAAAGTAGTATAAATAGGATTACATGAGATTGTGTACAGCAAATACAGTAACAGTTACAGTGTTTTCAAAGTAAAAAACAAACAAAAAAATACAGAAAATATATAAATACAATACATTGACAACACACAAAAACAAATAAGCAAACATAAACTGAAAAATGATCATGTTTCAAATTCAGATTATGATATGTGGTTGGTGACATGAGAAAAGATGAACATTTGCAGCCCAAACTTTATAGTTTCTACGAGTTAAAGCAGTGATATATTGTTGGGTAACAGAAATTACAGTCTACTACAGATCGACCTAACTGATTTTCTTGCTAAAATGTGGCTGGATAATTTCACATGTTGATATACATATTACATAATATAACTAAGTTTACATACGTTCAGTAGAGGGCGCAAGGAGACAAAGTTTCACCTGGACGTGAAGCAGCTTGTCAGTGGTGGAGAGCTGCTTCTAGCTGATGGAGAATGGACATATGAGACACTGTGTTCAGTTCCTTTAGACTCTGTTTGGTGCTCCTTCATCTTAATCCTAATTGGTACTGAAGCTTCAGCCTCCTTCATGCATTTTAACAAGTCAGACTGCCCTTCTGTTTGGTGTTTAAAGAGACCGGCATGCCGTTCTCGTCCACGCACCAACACTTTCCACGCTGCTTACCCCGAGATGACCAACACTGCACAAACAGAGCAAACAGACCACGTAGTGAAGCTCTAATCTGGAGCTGCAAATACATGTAGTCTCTCTTGTTCAAATAATTTCAACAACATCCTAGAAATTTGCAAACTCACCTGCTTCTTTCTGAAGAAACCGCGCTTGTCACAGTTGGGCATGTAGATATCGTGATGTGACTTAAATAAATGGGCATCAAGACCTTTGATGAGGGTGGTCAGCAGCTTACGACATGGAGCCTGTAGGACAGAAGAGACAGAGTTAATACACAGATGTAGTCTGTGTAAGGCAGTGATGTACTTTTTCACTGACGGAAATGAAGATTTTACCTCATCTGGATCCTCAGTAGGAGTTGGGGCTAAAATCAGATAAAGACAAAAACATTTAGCTGTGATCACTTGTTTCTTTGAGAACTCTTGTTTAAATGCAACAGCTTTAATTTAATTTTACTGAGAAGGTACAAAAACTAATCTTAAGGGTTATTTTGTGATGTGGTTTGCTCTAAATTGACTGAAAGCAATGACAGATTGATAGTAAAACCCATCTTTTAAACTAAAATATTCAAACCCTGTTGATAATGGAGAAATAATAAGCAAATGTAAAAGTCCACTGTGAATCCTGAAATACCATACACTCAAAGTCATAATGATTCTGTCCCATTCATTCACTCACACCATCTTCCAGGCACAAAGAGTTACATGAACCTTACCAGCTATGTGGACCTGTTCAGTCGGGCTGACACTGCTGGCGTTGCTGCAGACTCCTCTCCCTTCCAGCAGTGCACGGAGGGGCCTCGGCTCATCATCTGGAGGTGCACACCGCAGACCGGAGGCACAGCTCAGAGTGTAGACGCCACACGCCTCCCCAACAGCCAGAACTGTGGCGTTTGAATCTACTGACGGCTGAGTCTGTGAGTGCTTTCCTTTACAGGTGGGACATCCTCTGGATGGTGTGGTCAGTGGGCTTGACAGAGCCATCTGCAGTAGGAGCAGCACCATGATGTTTGAATAGAGAAACATCTTGTACAAAAACATCTCCACTGGTCCAGTCTTTTAGCACAGGCTTGTTCAACGTTTTCTATGAGGATTTCCTTTTCTAACTCTGTCCCCACTGTTGCATTTTTAAAATGTAGCTCCTCAGACAAAATTCTCTCTCTCTAGTCAAAGGTGGGTAAAATTCCCTCAAGCCAAGTCAAAGTGATAATGACGCTGACAGACGCCACTGGCAGCGGCTTTTAAAGAGCCTAAACCAGTGAGGAAAGGTATGGGAGGGTACGTGATGGAGAATGTTAGCTTTCCCTCTCATTTCCACACAGCTGCGCACACCCCGTTTGACTTGTCTCTGACTGTCTGACACATACACATACTCACGCATGCTCATACCATTTGTTGTCTGTCATCCTGCAGGATAGCAATGTTTTCTGCACTGACTTAAATTGCAATTGCTGTGTTTGCTACTCCGCTGCTCTGCCTTTTCCCCACTTACAGTCATTCACAGAGGTGATGCCTTAATGTGGCCGACCAATCATGACCCTGCAAACTGAAAAACCACACAAAAACAAAAACGCTGTCCTTGTGAAGTGAATATCAACTTGACAACATCTGTCTGTTCTAAAAGTATTAGAGTTGCTTATATAATCAGGTACAATTAGCTGAATGACCCTGAAATATGAAGAAGTATGCAGAAATTCAGAAAGTACATTTATTCAAGTACCATTAACTGCTACTTGATTCTACTCTGCTACTTTTTCTGAACCAATAACACAAAACCAATCATGACATTATTTGATGGAATAAATTTAATTAGTTGAACCAATTCCCAACAGATTATATAGTTGTACAGTCCATCAGTTTGGTGTAGTGTTGCTCCGTCGATGGCAATTCTAGGGAGACAACAACATTATAGTCTTGGTATGAGTCCAGATAAACACACAAAGTGAGTAAAAAGAGTTTTAGCCAATGAATGGCTGGACTTAGTGGCCTCATAATGCACAAATTAATCCAAGGGCTTTTAAAAATCCTCAGTTACAATAAAAGTACTTAGTTACTTCCACCCTTTTCATATTTGTTTTGGTCGACATTGTCCTGACTTGTCTTTAAATAGCAACCAGAAAACAAACACTTTGTTCACTCTGTGTGTGTGTGTGTGTGTGTGTGTGTGTGTGTGTGTGTGTGTGTGTGTGTGTGTGTGTGTGCTCGTGTGCGTGTGCGTGTGTGTTTACGGCGTCTCTGGCTAAAGATTCTGAGGAAATGGTGGACAGTAAGAGGCTGAAGGAGTGCCACTCAAGGCTAGATGACTAAGACATTAATAGCAAAAAGTCCCACCCTGAAAATTCCACATCGCGTGAGTCACAAACACTGTAAATGAGAAGACGGGATCACAAAACCCTGACAGTGTTGTTTTAAAGTGATATATCATTAATATACAGTCTGTGACCACCCACTGCCAGATACAGTCTGAGTGAAAACATGGCCTAATAATCGGGTTAAGAGAGAGAATATTATATGCAGTAGAAGTAAAAGTAGAAGCTCTTTAGAAGACTAAAGCCTGATAAATACAATTTAGACCTTTAATATTTCAGCCTCCTGGAACTTGCTGTGTAATACTGATTTCATGGAGGTGTTTTTTGCATCAGTCTGACAGAGAATCTTCATTCTTCACCAGAATCAAAGCCTCCCACCCCTTTTGTTAGTCAGAGCACAGTCTCTTATGTCACTTCCTTAAAAAAAATCATAATATTAATACAGTATTTGGTAAATTGGCTTATAAATGCAGTTTTAAGCTGTTGCTTGGACAAAATGTCAGCTTTCAAGGTTCAGGGTTTGCTTTATTATGCCGCTTCAATTTCAGTTCACTTCCTTTGAATTCTATTTTACTCAAATAGAATCGATTCACAGCATAAAGTCCTCTCAAGGCACTTCACACAGTACAGTGAAGAAGTTACATTTTTACATTCTAGAGAGAAACCCAATAAATACTAAGATTCCCTTTGAGCAGCTCTTTAGCGATGATGAGAAGAAAAATCTGCTTTTAGCAGGAAGAACGCTCCACCAGAACCAGGCTCAGGGAGAGCAGCCATCTGCCTCAACTGGTCTGGGTGAGGGTAAAGAAGAGAGAGAAAAGGAGATAGAAAACAGACCAATACAGTCTGACAGAACAATAAACACTGGGAAGGTTGGTGAGGCCAGTAACTGCACATCTGAAACAAGCAGCTCCAGAGGCAGAGATACCTGCAGAGAGGACAAAACTACAGGACAGACAGGACACAAAGTGACTGACATGCACTGGTAGTAATATATAGAAAGTGAAGGAGGAGATGAGAGTAGGTGCTCAGTGCATCATGGGGAGTCCCCCAGCAGTCGAGGCCTATAGCTGCATGAATAATAAACGGCTCAGGCTCACATGAATCAGCCCTAACTACCTACTCAAACACAAACTTTCTTAAAAAAGACCATTACACGCCTGATTTTAAAAGTAGAGAAGGTGTTTGTCTTTTGATGTGAGAAGGTTTTATGGAAAAATGTTCTACAACATGTTTCCTCAACAACTTCCCCAAAACATCCTCAGAATCTATCCATCCATCATCTATACACCGCTTAATCCTCACTAGGGTAGCGGGGGGCTGGAGGCTATCCCAGCCGACTCAGGGTGAAGGCAGGGGACACCCTGGACAGGTCACCAGTCTATCACAGGGCTACACTTAGAGACAGACAACCAAGCACACTCACATTCACACCTACGGACAATTTAGAATCACCAATTAACCTCAACATGTTTTAGGACTGTGGGAGGAAGCACAGAAGAAGAACCCGGAGAGAGCCCATGCTGCACAGGGAGAACATATAAACTCCACGCAGAAAGATCCTGGTCCAGATCCTAACCAGGACGCAAACCGGGGATCTTGTTTTTGCGAGGCGACAGTGCTAACCGCTGAGCTACCTTGCAGCCCCTATTCTCAGAAAAATGCAAGCAAAATGCTGAGATTTATTAACATATCACATTATAGGAACTTTTTTTTTTTTAAATAAACAAAACAAAACAAAAAACATTCTGTCATCTGAGGCCTTGATAAACATTTTTTGACCTCTAGATTTGAGGACGTTATTCTTTTGTTATCATGCAACACAATCTGACGACAACCTTCAAACATCCTCTGTATGTTGCAATTAAAACACAACCTTATAGGAACATTATTTTAAATAAAAATGATCTTCAAAACAGTCTTTGTACATTAGATTTATTTTTTTCCTCTTCAAAGCATTATTAGAAATTGTAGGTAAAGTTAGCAAAAGTTGAGGAAACATTTCCTGCTTGCTAGTTCGAATACGTCTAAGTGAAACCAACTACATTAATATTACTTGTTAACTTAATCTGCATAAACTTAATTCAATTGTGTGATACCAATTCAGGTAACTCATTGAAGATGGTCCAACAATTGTCTTTTCTAGCGCAGACTTTTCATTTTTAAACGAAAAAAATAAAAATGCTTTAAGCATTAAGATGGCTCTGTTTCTTAATTCTACAGACTCCTCAGGTCCAAGGATCAAAACACACCAGTGGAGCTCAGAGCCGCGCATGATGCAGCACAGCAGAGGTTAAACGCTTCACTCTGCACTTATTCTCACATCTGATTGGTGCAGGAGGCGGGACTTCCGGCAGTTCAGGTTGGACATAAAGTGACAGACTTCACCTCCTTAAAATTGGAAGAAAACCCGAAGGACGACGCGTTACAAGTTACAAAACAGTAAGGAACCTGTGTAAGACAGAGGGGCTCTGAATTGTGTGGGTAAAACCTGAGGTATAATTATGTTTATGGGATATAATCAGCCACACAGCGCAGTAAATGTTGTAACGCTGAAAACAGCTAGCCGGCCAACCGAGTCCTGCCTGTAGTTTGGGAAATGCGATGCTGCGTTTCAGGACGGCTCGTAAATTCTTGAATGGCAGAAGTTAACATGCAACAAATGTACAATATACATGTACATATATAAACTGTATATAAACTGTAAGTTTGCATGTTACTTTACTGAGAATTTCTTCAGGGGTGTTTAACTCAGGTGCCTCCGCAGTATAAGAAAATTCAGTTTTCGTGTCCTTTCATAGTTCGCTTAATAGAAACACACAACACTTTCAGTTTTGTTTTTCAGTTTAAAAAAAAAAAAAAGAAAGAAAGACAGAAGAAGGAAGAGGGAGCCCGGTTAACTTCTAGTCGGGTCGGTGTCATTTACTATCACTCATCTTGTCAAAAAATAAAATAAAATTTAAAACTTGGCTTTTGCTTTGAATGGTGAACTAGAATAAACAACACTGACAGACTGTGAGCGTTCACCTGAGTCACTGGCTGTGATTGCATGAAAGAAAAAAATTAGAGCTGAGATCATGAACTAATTTGTTGATTAACAAAAAAAATAATAATTAAGAAAATAAATAAATACATTTTTAAAAAACTGCCTGCTTATATTTTTGACATCAGATTAATTGTTTTAGTCACATTTCAAGCAAAAAAAAGAAAAAAGCCAAACATTCTATAGTTTTTGTGTTTTCAAGTTTGCAAACATCTTGTTTTGGTCTCGCTTTATAGTAAAATATTTCAGGATTGCAATGTTGTTTGTGAAAAGCACTTTGTTATTACCTTGAGTGCCTTTATCTATGTTATCAGATTAAAAATATATATATATATATACTCTCCGGGTTCTCCGGCTTCCTCCCACACAATCCAAAACCATGTTGAGGTTAATTGATGATTCTAAATTGTCCGTAGGTGTGAATGTGAGTGTGCTTGGTTGTCTGTCTCTAAGTGTAGCCCTGTGATAGACTGGTGACCTGTCCAGGGTGTCCCCTGCCTTCACCCTGAGTCGGCTGGGATAGACTCCAGCCCCCTGTGACCCTCGTGAGGATTAAGCGGTGCATAGATAATGGATGGATGGATGGATGGATGGATGGATGGAAAATATATATATATATATTACTATAATAAATATATGCTAATTATATTTCTTTAAATATTAGTGTTGTGTTCCAATATTGGTATATAGAGATTTAGTATCTAAGTAAGAGATTTATAGAAAGACACCACTGAGGCTGGGTGTCTCCAGTACGTGGGATTTACCAGAAGAGTCTTTCCCGGTTCACACCCAGAGGAGACACCTGACCGTCACAATGCTAACACAGCTGGGGACTCCCGTTCATGCCTGCTGGCAGTATAAAGTCTGTGTCCAGGCCTTTGCTTGTCTTTGGAATGTGGGATTAAACGTGAATGGAAAAAACAGCTCACAGGAAGGGTTTGGCCTGAGGATCAAGCCCAGGTCCTGCTTGTTGTCAGGCAACCATGGAGATCATGTTGTGGTCAAAGATGTTTGCTGTTTTATGATAAAGACCTGTGCTGTTACTGTATCGCCCCTCCTTCCTGCTTACAGCTTTCATGGCTGAACAAATATTTAATCATCCTACACTTGTTCATTGTGATTGAGCTGCTTGTGAACCCATGAAAGCAGCTCTGACAATCAGACTCAGCAGTTTTTGAGTTGGCCTCATGTATCCTCCTTTGCTTTAAATGATGCTACATGACACATAAAAATAGTTAAAAGTACTTAAGTAACTGTTTTGTCTCACATGTGCTATTTGTGTCCCAGATTGTAATGATTTTCAGACATGGACGACATAAACCTTCATTATCGCTTTCGGAACTGGAGGAGACGAATTCGAGAGATTCGTGAGGTGCGGGCAGTGCGTTACCGGGAGCGACTCAAAAGGATGCTGCGAGATGGAGACATACTCAGGTAACAAGTGATGAGCAATTCCACCTTGAGAGCTGGAAGTGAAGAAACTGATTCATCACATACTCCTTTGTACTAAATCTGCACTTAGATATAAGTCCATAGTAACATTTCTTTTTATCCCTGTGCATCTCTTTGTAGGTATCATGGGAACTCAGATGAAGTCGGCTGTTTCGTGGCATCCAGGCCGTTGTCGAAAAGAAATCGCTATTTTGAAGTAAGAGCCAATTATTCCCTCTGAATCATGTTTATTTAGCTCAAGAGTGATCGTTATCCCAGCCTTGCTTGTTATTTAATAAATTGATTTTACGTGGAAATTTGCCTGATGTACAGAAACTGTAGTTTGCATCCTGACTGGAGTCACTGCTTTACACCACTTTATGTCTGAATGAAAATACCATAAAAGAACATACAATCAGCTTGATATTTTTGTTCTCAAAATTGTAACTGCTTTATTGTTGGTTATAACTGATACTATTATGCCTTTTTGTGCACAATGAAGCATTTTCAGCAAAAATCCAACAAATTATCTGCCATCCTCACCAGTTATAAGCCATTTACCAGCTGACCAGTCTGACAGTTCAGTACTTTTCCAATCACTTTTAATTCTTTCAGTTATAAACCATGTGAAATATATCTTTAAATTAAACAGATGAACACATTTTTACTGTGCCGTGTTGTTACAGTGCAGTACTGATAAATAAACCATGCCCATATTTCCACACTCTGTACTAACTTGACTGTGTAAGCTGTTCACGCTGCAAGTTTGACATGGTCTAGTATAATTAAGGAGTCCAGTGAACAATTTTGAGCTGCTACATCTCAGATATATTTTCTGAAACATTATGCTGTGTTTTTAAAACTTAAAAAAAGTCACTGTGTAATTATTGAAAAGAATGAAACGCTTTCATTTTTTTTACCAGAACTGTAAAAGTTTGGTTTACTATGAAGTTGAAAAACTTTTTTTTTCTTGTTTACCTTGTTAACATGCTCATATAGTGTTTTTTTTTTTACTTTCTAAAAAACTTTCTGAAATAAGGAGTCAACACCACTGCTGAGAGTTTTTATCTTGAAATCAGTGCATCAATGACGGTCTCAAAAACAAAAAAGGGTGGGGCTTTCTGTGTCATTTGTTCCACTTCTAGTATGTATGACTGAATTACTCCAGTATTAAAACTTGCCACCGTGTAGAGCAAGAGCCGTTTACCAGGGTTTGAACAGAGTTGTAGGTGAGCTGAAGTGCTTGAATTGTGGTGAGCAACAGAGGAGTGGATGGAGAGAGATGCTGGGAATTCATAGATGTGCACATTTTTGAGTGAGTAAGCAAAGGTGTAGTTATATCTGAGCCATGTCAAAGCAGGAAGGGATTATTTTTCTGGAAAAAAAAACATCTTAACATGTAGTTTTAATAGACATAAATGTGTTTGTAGGGGTTTAATCAATGACTGGAGACGCTCTTTATTGTGTACGTCTATGTTATGGATGATGTGACGCGAGGAGACTTGGCAGGCCACTGTGTCTGACTGCTTGCCTTTATGTTCTTGAGTCATAATGAAAAAAGAAATCATGACGCCTCCCGGGAGTAGCATGCATTTGAGAAACAAAGATGTTTCAGCTTGAAAACAGATTTTTAGAATTACTTGGCAGGTCATTTTACAATGTGTGCTGGAACTGAGGATATAGTAAACGTTGAAGCCAAAACAAATTCTTCAAGTCATATATGCCAAAATCGCACAACAACATTTCGTCTGCACGTCAATCAGGGTTCTTAAACCCAACTGTAACTCTTATTCTTGAACAACTTTGATGTTCTCCGTTTAGTCAACTTGCCAAATCAAGATTAACAAAATCTATCTTGACATGTTTTTATTGGAGTCTTTTTGTATTACTGTGAGGCATTTGTAAGTATAAAGAGGCAACAATATATTTTCAGAGAGGATCAGAGGAGAATCTCTAGAAGTTTAAAGATATTTAGTCTTGGAAACAGCCTCAGAAAAGAGAGTCACTGGGATCACACACATTTTATACAGTTTTTCTGTGGAGAATTGTGCTTCAAACAAAAAGACTCACTTCACACAGAAGGTTTGCACGACCCGCCCTCCGTAGTTACTGTTGCTATGGCTGGCGGGGATATCAGGACACTATATATAGACGGATGAAGAATTAAAGGAAAACCAACAGAACTTGTTATAGTAAGATGTTGGACATTAATGCACCTTGACATTGTTTCTACAAGTCTCTGAACTCTGCTGGAGGGATGAACAACAATCTTCATCACATCTAATACCTAGAGCTATATTCTTCTCATTAGCTGTATTTTGCAAATCTCAAAACACAAACATGTTTTTAGAAAGCTATCTCTTGTAAATGAAATACATTGCTGTGCTTCTTTGGGTGATCACTCAGAACAACTTTGAATTGATTTGCAGTGACCCTTGTTGCCCACAGCATAACAGAGCCACCAGATCTCCTCACTGCAGAGGTCAACGGTTCAGGTTTTTCTTTAGTCATCAGTCTGTATATACCATTTACTAACTTACCATTTTCTAAGTTAAAAACCTTGGTCATTTTAAATCAATGCGTTCTTGATTTTCAACAAAGGCTAAGCTTGTGTTTCTCGCTGACTTGCTTTAAAATGAGAATCCTGTAAAATGTGGTCTAAAATATGCACTTCATCACTACATATGAGGTGTGTCAGAAAAGTTTCAGGATTGGTGCCACAAAATATATATTTCAAATCCAAACAACTACAAATTTTCCCCTTCAAAGTAATCCCCCTGGAGTCTAACACACTTCCCCAGCCTTCTCTGCCACGCCGCCATGCACTCCTGGAAGGATCCTCCACAGCTACGTCATCACAGACATCTTGATGTCGTCCATGTCTTCAGAGGGGTCCCCTTGATGACCCCCTTGAGTTTGGGGAATAGGAAAAAATCCCACAGAGCCAGGTAGGGTGAGTAGGGAGGTTGTTCCAGCACGGCGATGCTCTTCTCAGCCAGGAACTGTCTGATGCTCAGGGCATTGTGAGCAGGCGCGTTGTCATGGTGAAGCAGCCACGACTCGTCCTGCCACAACTCTCACCTCTTCTCGCACACTGAACGAAGCAAACGCCGCAGGATCTCTTTGTAGACGTGCTGGTTGATCATCTGAAGGGAAAAAACTCGTAGTTTGTAGTTTGGGTTTGAAATATATCTTTTATGACACCAGTCCTGAAACTTTTTCTGACACACCTCCTACATGAGAACAAGGAGCAGTTCTTAGCTGTTGTCTCAGGGCCTAAATATACCAGACTATTAACATCCGTGTCCTCAGAATCTAACCTTTTATTTGAAAACTGCTTCAAGTAGAATCCAATAAAACGCATAAGCTGAGTTGGAGGAAACATTGCATTTACAGCTTCTGCACACATGGTTACTGTATACTGAAGTTTCAGTGGTGCTTTTGAGCTGATGGGTCTAATGCCTCGGGTATCTCGGCCTGAACAAATTGGTTTCATGTATTCAGATAAGTCTCCACTTGTTTCAACGATCAACCAAACACAGCTTGTTTATTTCACTGTTTTGAATAATGTAGATACTGTACTGCACAGACATCCTGGACGAGTGACTGTTTCAGACTACACCATGTTCAAACTTGCCTACCACACACATCCTGCCGTGCCTGATGTGTAGTGAAATTGTAACTAACCCTCTCAACCTTTACACTTACGTGTGCTTTGTCCTTGTGACTCACTTTATGGGAGTCATGAAGGAGGAGGGAGGAAACCATTTGCGTAAATGCGTACATGAGCGTGGTAATAAATGATTGTTAAGTGGACACTGATTGCAGAGCTGATCGAAGATTTTAGAGTTTATCTTCACGTTTTACGCGGAGACAGAACAAAAGAAAAAATATTACTTCTGACTCTCAGGAGACCAGTGCTGAGGTCATGGGAAAGAACTTAAAAGTTTCCTCTCCTCCTTGCCCTGGATTTGCCAGCAGTGCTCCGATTGCATTGCGTCCGTGTATGGCTCCCTGGGGATGATGTCATATGGTCAGTATTCAGTTATGATAACAATGGTGCAGGCCAGCTTTTTACTTAAGGGTTTTCACTTTGAACCATCATGTCAGGTTTTACAAAGAGATACTATATGGTTTCAAGCTGGACTGGAAATTTCATGAAGTGAAAGGAGAAGCGGTGCCAACCCAAAACATATGAAATTCAGAGGTGGGTTCTGAAGAAGCAGCTTCTCTTGCAAATAAACCTGCAGTGCTAAAAGACCTGTTTGAAACATTTCTGTTTGTCTTGTATGATTTTGCTGCCATTAAACCCATTAAAGCTCTTATCTCGGTACTACAGTCAGTCTACCACTTTGAATAAAATATTAAATAATATATCTTTTAAACTACTGGATGGATTCCGATTGTCTGCTGAGAAGGAATCCTTCTGACTTTGCTGATCATCTGACACCATTGCCATTAGGATCATTTTTTTTCATTCAGTGCTTTCATTTCTGAATAAATTCCTGCAAAACTATTAACATTTACATGAAATTTATGCTATGTTTTGTTCTAGTAAGAAAACATTAGTGCACTCAGACTAAGATGTCATCATCATGGTAGCGTAGCACCTGTGAGCACATTTCCATGCGAGCAGTAGCGATTAGCCTAAAGCACTTAATCAAAGCTTATAGATTCTTTGTCTTGTTCATTGAAATATAAATGAGTCTTGGTTGTGCAAACATGACTGCTTTGCTTGCTTATAATCTGTTTATTTATGAGCACTGTGAATATTTTTTAATTCATCACTGTTATTGATCCATCTGGTTTGACAACATCCACCACGAGACAAGACGTATGTCTGCGTCCTTCACCCTTGCTGCACCCACTCCTTCTACAGTTTCAAGTACTGAAGACTCCCACATGCGATATGTAATGACTATTTCATGAATAGTTGGGTGACTGTTAGCTGTCTTCTAAATTTTAGGTTGGCGTTAACACATTTATTTTTTTTTAAAGATGCCTTTTGTTAGAAGGAATATTAAACTCTTGAGCTTCTATGTTGTGATGCTCATGTCTTCTTAATGTCATGTTGTTGAAACTTTGTATTCGTACAATGTCAACTCAAACTAAACTTTAATCAGATACTGTTTAGAAACAGAAAGGAATCTCAAAAGAGAGGAGACTTTCGACTAGAGGGATGTTTGAGTTTCTTGATGACGACAATGACTGTTGTCTTTTCAGGTGACCATCGTCGATACAGGAGTGAGGGGGATGATTGCTGTCGGTTTGGTGCCTCAGTTGTACAAACTGGACCATCAGCCAGGCTGGCTCCCAAACTCTGTGGCTTTTCATGCTGATGACGGCAAGTATGTGCTGATGATTTTCTGATTTTCATATATATACATGACATGGAGAGGACAGGCGCACTTCATTATTGTGCAATTGCACAAAGCACTTTTGTCACTTTAAGAAGAATTCAGTGGAATAAACTTTGGAAAGGCCTGACTGAGCACCCTCATATTGACTGTCTGGCTCTCTGAAACTGATACTGCTGTTAGTAATAAGCTTGCTAATACGTTTTAGGAGCTGGAAGAATGCTAGAGGAGCTACACATTTAGAGTAGGTCGGACCGGTCTTTTAGATCACCTCACAGTGATGCGACTAACATCAGGATTTATTGAACAAGTTTGGTTTTCCACCAAGTGAGGGCTTCCTATATGTTTCCTGGTGTTTATAGGAATTAAATGTAAACCGGTGTGAAATAATTTCAACACTGTAACACTTCCCCTAAAAAAGTCGCACCATGCTGGGAACCGAAAGACACCAACAATACACAAGCACTGCTGACCTCATCACAGGGAAGTAGGTAAATTAGAAGTCATTAGACCAAATTATGCCAGTAGTTTATAGCAACCTAGCCAATTATTTTTGTCTTCATTAGAACTTTGACAGTAGAGAGATGACTGGGAATTATTGGAGAGAGAAATGGATATGCAGCAAAGGTCTCTGGCTGAAATTGAGCTGTTGTTTCAGTTCACGATGCAGCACCTTAAATCCCTCCACCTTGAGGTTACTCTGTTTCTTTTTTTTCTTTCCTTTTGTTTACAAAAAGGAGACTTACTTGCATATAAACTGTTGACTCTGTAGCATTCAACTTCATTTTCTGTAACTCAGTGTTTTTCCTGAGTATCTTCTGAGGTTTGTTTTTACACAGTATGACAGAAGGAAGGTATATCACTTGTTGCATTTTGCCACCAACTTCTCCTTCTTGTCTTCCTGCAGGCTTTATAATGGAAACACTGTAGGACAGCAGTTTGGCCCAAAATGCTGCAGAGGTGACAAAATCGGTTGTGGAATATCTCTGGACTCTGAAGATGGACAGATAACTGTGTTTTTTACCAAAAATGACAGTGAAGTAAGTACCAACTCACTATTGTATTTGAAAGAATGTATTCAGTCAGTACAAATTTGCTGGTGAATTTGTCTTGTTTTATTAAATCTTTAGATTCCTCCTACCTTTCCCTAAACAGAACTGTATCTAAATGTGTTTTCAGGTGGGCAGTGTGGACATCGCAGCGTCTCCTGATGCCCTCTACCCTGCCGTGGGGATGCACTCCTTAGGGGAAGAAGTTCTGCTGGACCTGAACGCTGAATGGGGGGTGGAGGAGGATGATGGACAGATGATAGTCGACAGTCATGAAGAAGACTGGGCCCGTCTCCATGACGTCAAAGTGACTGACACGGTAAGCTGCTTCTGTGAGTCCAGATGGTGCTGGGTGAACCCTGATAAACTGCCTACTGTGAGTTACTTCAGTCAAGGTCAGCTGTGGGTGCAGAATAAAAGTTTTGACTATGAAAAAAAAATCTGTAGGAATGGAATTTAAAAGAAGTGAACTCACCTGGGCTCTTAGCTGTTTCTTTTCTCTAACTGAGGATACTAAGTTGAGACTGAATTTGCCCCTAGCAGCATAAAGCACCCAAATCTTTAACCAAACTCTCAGTTCAAATTGTATTGTGAGTAAAGAAGGCACCAGGTTTTGAAAAGGAAAAAGAAAGTGCAAGATGAAAACTCCAATGTCTGTGGTCATGCTGCATCAGTTTTGCTTTTTTCAACTGCTCATCATAAGTCAGACAATGTTATTAGAGTGAAATGCGACGTCAGTGGAGATTGTGAAGAACCCTAACTCTGTAAATAATCTTCAAAAAGTTTCATGAGGCAACACTTAAGTTCCCTATTTAGCATTTATAAAAATTATAATGCATTATAATGTAGTAGGTAGCCAATACGAGTGTTTATTAATGTATTTCTTGTCACTTCTTCTTTGGCCAACTATGAGTGGTAACACACAGGATAGTGCAGGACAATATAGTAATGAACGACTAACTGTCTTTACATTACAGGTGATTATTATTGACATATTATTGCAGTACAGGAACAATTGCTTAAAAGGTCCTCATAGCTTTGTGCAGCCACATTGTAGTGTGTTATAAACCATATATTAAATGTTTTGTATGCTTCTTGTAAAGTCTAAATAGGTAGACCTATAGTAAAACATTTGACCATATAAGAACTCTGCTCACAATCATCATCCCTTTATGGAATCAGTGGATCTACATTGAAGTCACTACAGAGATTCCAATGGTAGTTTGAAAAGTCCTGAATTGATAATAACAGATAGACAGAGATAATTAACATAAAAAATATTTTCCCAGAGGGAATTGGCCTCTCTGTCTCTCTTGTTTGGGTCCCCACCCCTCTCCATGACGGCAGAGCTGCAGTGTTTGTGTCTGACTCAGCCGTTGATACGCACAAAAACTGCAGTAAAAGAGTAGCTTGTTTGCCACCCGCGCACTTATCTGTCTATTATTTCTATACAAACCTGGCCGTGCCCTGTGCGAGTGGCTTATAAACTGCAGCATTAACTCCAACTCGGTAGCACGTGTTCATGTCTAACGCTACATGTGAGCAGCCAGGATGGAAAAACAAGACATATCAGGAACGGAACAGAGTTTATGGCTAAAAGTGTCATTTTCAGGTTCATAATAATGAATCCTGGTTGTATGGGATTAGATTTGCTTTACAGTAATCCACCAAAATCTCCCAAGATTAAACCAAATTAACTTGAAATTGAATAAAAGAATCTGAACCCAAAAGGCAAAACTAAAATAACACTACATAAGTGAGCTGCATTTCCTCACAGTTGTCTTTCACTCATCAGGATTTCTCCTTTGTCGCCGCTTTCGTCACTCAATTTTTGTTACAGGGCTGCATCCTCATTGTTCAGCAGCTTTTCATTTACAAGGAAACGGCCATTAGTGCAATACAGTTGCACCACTTTCTGATGATTGGCCATTAAAAAAGCTGTTGACCAGTGAGGACTCAGCCTTGAAGTGCCCACACAAGGACTTTTTGATCAGAGCTCAAACTAAAAAAAATTAAGGAGGCAAAACTGGAAAAAAAGAAAGGGAAATATAGACCTTTAGCCATGCGGAGAATCTTGTAATGAACTGTAACACTCATCCATTATATTACTTTTATTATTATTTATTTTTTTAAAGTTATTTTTTTGGCCTTTGTGCCTTTATTGGATAGCGCAGTCAGAGAGAGACAGGAAAGTAGGAGAAGAATGGGGGGAGGACATGTGGGAAAGGGTCATGTGCGGGATTCGAACTCATGACCTCCACATCGGGACTGTAGCCCTACACATGGGACGCCAGCTCAACCAGGTGAGCTATAGCGGCGCCCCTACTTTTATTATTTTTAACTCAAATTCTTTTCACTTTCAACCTATTGATATATTTTTTGTTTAATTGTTTGTCTTTGATTTTTTTTTTTTAATCCATCGAAATCCAGGTTTCTTTATCTACTTGAACCTCATTTTAACAATGTTATGTCATCATATTCAGTATTGTCAACAAATAAACAGAAACCGTCAGCCGTTTGTAGATGAGTGAGTGATTTACTATCAGCTTTTATCTGAATGAGGTCAGCTGCAGTAACAACATAGAAGCAGCTGTTTACCGCTTGAGGTGATTTTCACATAGTGACAAAAAAAAGGAAGCGATGGAAAACATAACTTGTCCTGAAATGAATCAAGCTGCGAATGCTGATGGATCAACCAATGGAATTAGGATTTAAACAAATAAACTAGTGAATTTAATAAGAAATCTCATTGAAATATCATGCAGCTTGTTTCGACAAAGAGGAGGTTAACTGGGCAACTTAACATTTTAGTAATGAGATGTTGAGCAGAGCAGCCCTGTTTGTTGCTTTAGCTAATGTGCTTATCCTCAGATGGTCACATTATACGTACCTGTGTTCATCTACTGCTCTGATGACATTTAGGAAGTCACTCTGGATCAGGATTTAGTTCGGTTGTGGTAATTTCCTCTGCTCAAATCCTGACCTATTTTCCCAGAAAAGAAAGAATTGCGTGACTTTATGACCTATTTTTTCACGTTAACATTCCCATTGGGGTATTATGTGAATCAAACACCAGCTCTCCCATCTTCTCCTGTCTATACCAAACTCAGATGGAGGCAGAAACCATGCCAGTGCAAAATCAGACATGTTTTCACGAGCAGCGAAATGTTTTGCTGTCATTATCATTTGTATAAACTCTTCCTCTAGTTTCGCACCGTCCAAGTGACGCACCTAAGCGTGCCGTAGGCCTAACCACCTGCTTGGGTAAAGCAAAGTGGGTAAAGCAACATGTTTGAGTTAATCAGAAAGAAAGCACATTTAATGCCTCATTAACCTGTGTAAACTGTTGGAGCTTTTTCGAATAAATTGTGAAAGTGGTGCATTATGGAGGTTAGTAGAACAGAAGCAACCTTGGATATGCAGCAGGACATTAGTTTTTATATGGGGCAGGCTGCCACTGTGGGCACAAGTGACATAAGAAAGTGCCAAATGTAACAGAAGTAAAGAAGGGTCATAAAGTCAGCTAACTGACTTCGTAATGTTAGTTAAAGCTCTATATATCTAAAGTGAGATGATGTAACTAGCATGACAATAGCAGCCAAAAGCCTCCGATTACACCAGAGTAGATCCAGCTGTGGCTGCAACACCACTGAGTGTCGGAAATAGAGAAAGCTTGCTTTGTCTTGTCCAAGACTACAATTGTTTTTCCTTTTAAAAGTTACGTAAAATCCAGTCGCGAAACTGTTTAGTCATTAATATACGTTCAAAAATGTTAGTGAAATACTTACTCTACTCACATTTGTAAAAGTGCAAAATATAGGCAGGGTTCAATAGTGAAAATAAAGTAAAGCCGGACCTCAGACTTTATCTCATGCAGTCTGACCCTGTGATAGGTGATGAATTCTATGTTTCAGTGTCATACTAGGTGTTTTAAATGATCCTAGCCATTGTTTATTTCTCATGTCCGCAGCTGCTGGAGTACGTAGGAAAAGGGAAAAGCATCGTGGACGTGGGTTTGGCTCAGGCCCGTCGGCCTCTCAACACACGCTTCCACTACTACGAACTGGAGATCACAGATGCTGGAGAGAAGTGTTACATCGCCCTGGGGCTGGCACGCAGGGTAAGAGCCTCCTCCTTTTAGTCATCACCATCATGATCACATGTCACTGCCATTGATACGCAGCGAAAATTTCTGTACACACTCAGTGGTTAACTGACAGTAAAGAAAACTTCTCTTTCCCCCCTCTCACACCTCGTCATCGGTCTCCCTCATATGCGCCGCTGCTCTCACTGTTTCCAGTCTAAGTGATGGATGACCGAAAGAGGAAAAAGCTAACGACAGAATAAATATTGTCTCATTTTACCCCCACATCTGGTTTTCCGTAGAAAGCAGGTTGTTCCATTTACATGCTAATCTATTCTGTGAACTAGAGGACGGCAGTCAAGAATGGGAAAATTAGTTATGAGATAATATGAGAACATCTGATTCTTCTATTTGTTTCAGTTTCTTTCTGCTTCTTCTATGATGTACTTCGTCTTTCCACATAGTCAGTCATCATACACGTAAATAAATTAGCAGCAAAGAATGCAGGAGTTCCTCAGGCTAAGCATTTAAAGGTTAATATCCCAGATTAATTTGGCTCAGTTTGGTGGTATTTAATTGTAAATAACGGTGGCAATTGATGGTCCATATTTTGGAAATAAGTGGGGTCTGAGAGGAGACTTGTTGAATGTTTACACATCAGAAATTCAATCAACTGCTTTCGGCCTCAAATGAAATCATCATGAACTCTGTGCACATCCTGTTTAATATAAATAAAACACCATAATAATTGCTGAGGGTGCAGCCAGTGTGCCATTTAAATGACGGATATGAAACGAAGCGTGGCTCAGATATTGTTGTTCTCCGCTGGCATGCTCGCGCTCGTCGCTGTCAGTTATTGGATGCTAATTGATTGAGCGTCACTGTTCCGAATCACAACGCTGCTTTGCCAGCTGGGATAGCGGTCACAGCCTGGGAGGTGATGGATTATTGCTGCAGACGCCCTCGACGTTAAGCTCCCCCTGACTCGCCTGCAGTTAGATACTGTGTGTGGGCACGTCGTTGCCTTGGGGTCAGGCGGCGTGGAGAATAGAACTCTGTCATTTTGCTGATTGTTTTCCAGGAATTGTTTTTCTCAATGTGTCTGCGGTTTTGGTGGAGCATTATAAATCCATCAAAGGGTCATTCCTGAGGTTTTAGTTCCATCCCCCGTCATCTCCTGCAAGATGCATCAGTCTGCTGATGGGAAGCTTTACTGCTTGCTACAAAAAAATAAAAAATCAAAACAAAGGTGTCTCTTTCTCTCTCTCTTTCAGGGTAGCGTGCGTAACAGTTAGTAGTTGCTCAATGGTTGCTCATATTAGATAAAGGAGCAATTGTTTATGGTGCATTCCTTTTCTATCATTGCTTAAGGGAAATGTCTTATTGTCTCTGTTTTTTACGAACCAGACACTTTATCTCTTTTATTCTGTAGTTTTCCTTCAGTCTCACCTTCTCATGCTTTTACTTTTGCTACCTGTTACGCTGCCCGTCATCACTTCAGTACTTACTGGGGTTTATATGGATGATTCAACCAAAAACTAAACACTTCACTTTAAAGTCAGCGTTCGATCTGCTTTATTATAGGAAAAAGAATTCAAGAATCCCTCACTGCATAGAAGGTAGACATTTTTTGTTGAATGATGAGATTGATTTTTTTTCCATCTTCTGGAAAGTGTCTTCTCCAGTCATCCAGAGCTTGAAATAAAAAAAGAATACTCGCAAGAATCTTTCCATCTCAGAGAAATAAGGATGTGGAGACTTACAGTAGTAGTAGTTGTTCCATCCCCTGCAGTCTGGTCTAGTGGATGTCATCGACTAATTTCTCTTTTTATTTTCAGGACTATCCGGAACAAAGGCATCCAGGTTGGAGCAGAGGCTCCATCGCTTATCATGCAGGTGAGTCATGTGTGATCAGTCTGATTATAATGGTACATAAAGATCTGTCAGTGTGTTCTGTCCAACCATATTACAGCCTGGATGCAGTCATGTGGTCTCTGTGGAAGGTGTGTGCTTTGTAGTGTATACACTTATTGTGTCATCAACAATCACTCTGTTAATCCTCACACATTTCTGGCCATAATAAAAAAGAACTAAGTAATTTGTATTTAATTATTACTGATAACCATGTCTGTAGTAGTAATGTAATATTCAAAAGGGTTCTGTGCAGCTTTCCTCTACCACCTGTGACAAAGACAAAAAGTAATAGGTGTAATATGTAACATTTCTGCCTTCAAATGTCTTCAAACAGCTATAAAAATGTTGTGTATTTTGTTGACGTGTGTGCTTTTATCATCCCAAATGTTTCCAACAATGTTCAAACTGAGAGAAAACCGTAATTTCATTCAATCGCATAGTGTTTCATTTTGGACATCAGTCAATTGCGTCATATTCAGTTTGTCCGAGAAACACCGGATTATATGTCGGGTAGCGCAGAAGAAGCTGGCTAGCTATCTGTTGTTTTATTTATCGTGTTGTTTGTATTGCTCACTCGTGATTAGTTTGACCAAGGATGACACCGCTGGGCTGCCTCGTCTGTGAACATGATTTCTGCCTGAGTCATGTCAGATAGATTTTCATCACTGAGGGCGGCGAAGACAACAACTACCGTGATCCCATGACTGAGACTGGGAGACCCCTAGTGGCAGAAGCTACACACTGCGTGTTTAATATTTGATGCGTGTCCTCCCTTGTGTCTGTGTGTGTTTCCTCTGGTTGCTCTGATTTCCTCCCACACTCTAAATCATGCAGTCTAAGGGAACTGGTAACTTAACTGTCTGTATGAGTAAGTGGGGATGTGTCTGTCTGTATGAGCTGCCTGAACAGGATCAGTGTGTCAGAAGATGGATGGATGTTACTGTTGACTCTTGTGCTTTGATTGCTGCATCCTTGTCTTGGTTGTATCACACTCTCGTGTGTACATGGCATTAACAAAAAACAAATTAAACAGCTTCTTTGTTGTTTTTCGTAGATGATGGGAAGTTGTTCCACGGCAGCGGCGTTGGGGACCCGTTTGGTCCACGTTGCTTCGAAGGGGACATTATGGGCTGTGGGATCATGTTTCCGCGTGACTTCAATCCTAATGATGCAGGTAAATTGTTTCCACATTTTTCAAAGCACCGTGCCTCAACATGTGCAGCATTTAGATATATCCTCTTTCAGATGACAAGGATGACTGGGACGCCGACATGGGTCCTAAGCCCAGCGAGGTTCAGAACGATTGGATTGCATACTATGGAGATGAGGAGGAGGAAGAAGAAGAGGGAGAAGATGTAGAGGGGAGGAAGGTCACGGTGAGATGCTACCACAATGTAGGAATATAAAAACAGGAACTTCAGTGCAGATGATAATAATATCTCTGTCTAAACAGGTGTTCTTCACCCGAAATGGAAAGGTGGTGGGTCGAAGGGAAGTGGTTTTACCAGCAGGAGGCTTTTACCCCACCATCGGCATGATGAGCACCGGGGAGAAGGTCAGAGTAGACCTGCACCCCCTCAGCGGCTGAGTCTTGTGGACGAAATGCGAGCTGAGTGGTGAAATCAGAGCAAGAACGAATAATTGAGCTGCGGTGCATTTTGGAGATTGGACAATAATACCTCAACAAGCTCAAAAATGTTCCTCGAAGGGTCACCCCACTGTAAGGGTTGACTGTGGCTCCCTCATGCTGTAAGAATGACTTCACATGCTGGCAAAAAGGTGTATAAAGAATGATCAATATGATCAAAAAAGTGCTTTATAATTAAATCATTTTATACTGTAAGAAACCAATCAGGGGTTTTTAGGGGTACAAACTGTTTTTGACAATTCAATCACAGTATAAAGTTAATAGAATAACAAACTGCCAAAAAAAAGGTCTCACCAGAATAATAATGAATGTAAAAATCCAGATGGACAAGGCCCCAGCTAACAAATGGACCTTATTTGTTATCAGCAATAATATATGTCAGCAAATTCCTCGTGCCACTGTGACAGCCTGCAGCCATTCAGCACTCATTAGCAGAGCTCTGCTGCACTTCCTCCTACTGGTGGTGTGTTACTGACACTCAGTGGCGAGACTGATAGTCTGTAGAGAACATCCTCAGAAAGTCTTCCAAAGACACAGCGGCGCACTGAATCATCAGTGAGTTCACTCTGTGAAGCAAAGTCAGTAAAAGCAGCTGTTTTATTGCTGTGGTTCTGTGTGAGTGCGAGTGCTTGTTCTGACATTGAGTCATTCCAAAGAGTTATTACAGCTTATTTTGTGGAAACGGTTCAAACCACATGCATACAGAGAAATAGGATAATTAAGTGTAATAACAATTTGTTGAAATTGAATTAAAACGATTTCATGGCTTTTAATTGTTTGTATTGGAGTAAGCAGTTTTAAAAAGCCAAATTTAAAAATCTGGTATGATTGGAAACCTAACTGTTGATGCTTTACTGTCATGACGACACGCAGGTTAGAATATGCAGTCTAAAAGATGTGACACTAAAACACTGTCAGAGGAAGGAACGTTCACTGAGGGGACAGTATGAGTCTGTCTTTAACTTTTTTGTTTACTCTCTACATGTTGCTTGGAGTTTTCCAGTGTGTTTTCCAGTATGGAGGTATTTGGTGTCCACTTGTAACTACGTATGTGCTTTTTGTGCTTGTATTCTACAGTTTGCCTTACATACAAACAAACCAGGAAAAATGACTGATGTCTGTATTAGAATTCATGAAAGAAATGCCAAACTCAGTGGAATCTTCTGCTGATTTCCACAGAAAAAAAAAAAGAAGACACGTCATAATGAAGTCATGATACTGAATGTACTTTCTGTTGAGCTTGAGGTATTTTGGAAATAGATACCAAATGTCTCAAAAGGAAAACTGATTATTAAACCCTGCCAGGGCAAGAATTTAACGCTGTGTTGCAGAACATTTCTTACCAGTTCAGCATTTAAATATTTGGCTGAAGATCTGAATGTTGAAAACAAAGCCATACTGAAACTACTACTTGCTCTCAGGTTTATTTGAAAATCACAATTAATTGCGTTGTCTGTTTTCTGCAGCGAGGCCATTTTGTGAGCTTTGCTGTATGTTGAATTCAGCCATTCTTTTGCCAGCTTTTTTCTTTTTTTAAATCTTTTGCCACACTTCTATTTCACCATAGTCTACTCCAACTTTGAAAACTTTTGACAGGTGTCCCCTAAAATCCTTGTGCCAACCGTTAAGTTGTGGCGATCAGTCAAAGATAGTTTCTTCGTGCTGCCAAATTTTACTCTCAACCGTTTTGAGATTTTTAGAGATTATGATGCTGCTTCAGATATTGAATTATACAACACTTCTAACATTTTGTGTTACAAGTTTTAAGTTATTCATAAAAACGTGGCAATAGGCTGTTATCGCTGGCGACAGCTGCAACATTTAAAGGGTTATAACTTTTATCCCCAAAACTGTTTATTGATGTTTGTACCTTTTTTATCAGCCACATTTTCACATCTCAATGATGTAGTAAGAACTACACCTTACAGAAAGAACTAGAGAGCTTGCAAACATATGATCTAATGAGCAAAGTGTTTTTGTGAGAGCTCCAGTCTGGAGTCTTTATAAAATAATGCACCTGCTAATTTCATTCATGTAGGAGTTGGACATGTTTTACCTGAATGTTGGTTGATGCCGACTGTGGAGGAGATCTAAGAATGCCTCGCTGAATCCCTGCTGGACGCCAAACTTTGCTGGAATGTTAATTTAAATAAGGCTTTATCTGTCCATAAAGTGTCCCCATGATAAACAAATATTTAAAAAACTTCAGTTCATTTGATGCTCAGTTGCTGCTATTTGTGTGTCGAGAAAATGCTGAACATACCGTCACAGCAGCCTGTACTACAGACGAGGTGTGTTCACGTTTGCCTTTTTAATTTTCTGTCATCCTCTATGTTTTGATCATCATTCTTTACAAGAGCTGCTGATGGTCTCCTGCTGCCCTCGGATACGCTTTCTTCTTTTTCTGTCTCCTTCTTTTTGTCTTTTGTCTTACACTTAAAGCAATCAGACAGTCATACCAAAAATGTTAATAAAAGTATATTTAATTCACTGATACACCGACTTCACCTTTGCCTTGTTTTTCTTCCCTTCAAAGTTTTACATGAAGAATATTTAGTGCTTGCTGATGACATTAAACATAAGTGAGAGTATGAAACCGCAAATGATGTATTCTAAATATGATCTCCACTGTGTTGTAGTAATAGGTTTAACCCATGATTGTAAGATTGATAGTCTTTAAGTCAACATTATTTAAAAGTAAATGTCATCATAAGAAACTATTCAAAGAATCATGATTTCCAACATTATTTTGGCCTATTGGTGCTTCAGATATTTTGTGTCAGTATTTTGGTTGTATTTAAATATTTAGCTATTTAAGTGCTGCAGAGGTACTATATATATTAACAGGAAGCACTGGGTGTTATTCACTGACAGGAGTACAATTCATCGTGTCGTCAGAAGAGATTATAAATCAGTTTAATTGATTTAGAAAGTCTGGTAAACCAATGGATGAGATGGAGATCATATTTTGCATCAAGTTAATGGTCTTTTTCTTGGACTCACTGTGAATGATGGCTTGTTACAAGATAAAGTGAGAGAGATCATGGATTCTGGCTACAGCGTAAAACTGAATAAATCTGAAGACAGTACGACAACGACCTACTGTGAAACATGTGCACGGACCAGAAAACTGGCAGTTCTGTGGTTTAAGTATATTGGATATATTTGGGTATTAAAATAAAGGTCTGAATGGACTATGACACTTCTGTATAGTTTATGTCACTGTTCATGAAGCCTAAAATTGGGGGAAAAAAGACAAGGGCCCAATGAGTCTACTGGCGAAGGAGACGTTTCATTAAAAGAGTCAGCATCAGCTTCATTCAAACTTTCCTTAATGGTATATTTTAATTGTTTCAACAGCATAGATAGTAATGCCCAATGTGTCATTATACAAATTATTAAAAAATTTTGTGCAAACATATATTCCAGGACACATAAAATACAAAGTGTTTTACATACAATATAAACTGGATTACATTTCAAAATGTTAAAGTCAGAAGGCCCCAAGAGATGATATATTTTGAGATAATACACTGAAAAGATGGCTACCAGCAGAAACCTTGGTTAATGATGTCCTTGTTCATTGTGGTAATGGTGATGACAGGAGAGATCAACTCAGACAAGCTCTCTAATATTCTCTAATAGGGGAGATGTTCTGATTCCCACTTGATAGCACACAAAGGCGACATTTCATTGCAGCACCTACGATTGGGATAATCCCTTTGCAATTTGCTCTTACGGTACAAGATCAAGGAGTCCCCAGCAGGATGTTGTTAATATTCCCTGATTTGTCTGTATGTACATTTTCAGAGCCCTAGTTACTTGTAATTGTGCAAATTCAGGTGTTTGACAAAGGTAAAGATTAAATTAACATCAAAGCAGGTGGCTTCCAAGTAGCTGAATGAATTCTAAAAAAAGCTACAATCAAAGCAGTAAGCTGCACATTGTCTGTGCCGTAGTTTTGTGACACCACATGAACTCTCATAACTTTGCTTGAGGAAGGGAGTATTGAGTAATTTCAATAGCGCTGACAGTGTCATAGCAGAACAGTCCAATGAGACGAGATCCAGTACAAATGCATGGGCATGAGGGAGTACCGACACTGACGGACAGCATTTCGATCCCTGAGAGAGGACAAGACTTGTCCATTGTTGTTTTGAGGTTAGCTAAACCTCATCCAGAGCATTTGGGTTCTGTTTAGCTCTTTAAACCAGAATGTGAAAATCTGAACTACAATGTCCACATACATTTGTAGTCCCACATTGTGTTCTGCATTCTATGAAGGGCACAGAATGACTGTTCTGCTTTATGCACTGTGACACTGCCTGTAGTTAAAAAGGACAATTAAGTGTCACATTAAGTATAATGGTTTTTGGACACACAACCTGTAAATAATATGCTACTGATGATGCAGATAATCATCAGAAGATGAGGTGCAGAGATGCATTTATCAGGGCTACCTTCCAGTATAATCACAAGTCACATAATCAATGTCTGAGATATTTTTTCTTTTTTACAATATATCATTAAAATGTGAAAGAAAAGAATCAAACATTTGCACTTTAACAGTTAAAGGCAGTTATTGCAATATATATGTGCACATACCTATTACTCATTTTTGTATCTCTCCAATAACTATAAAATCTGGCAAAGCTAAATTTATGATCTTCCTATAAACTGAGAAAATAAAACTGACAAAGTGTTTTATGGTGGCTGGACGTGACAGTGAGCTTGTGCTCCTATGACTCAGAGTCATCCTCCTCCTCCTCATAATAGCGGTTCCTCTTGATTATATCCTCTGCACTCAGCTCGTCAGCATCACTTTCTTCTTTGTCATCTTCCCAGAAGCCCACATCCTGAGAGGCGCGGTTCTGTTTTGGCTGTAAAGGGGGAGAAGGGGAAGGTGAGATATCAGGAGAAAGTCTCCTCAAAGAGCCCTCGTCCACTGCCATCATGTCTGCTGCTGAGTTTCCTTTTTGCTCTTGTTTTTCTCCTTCTTCCTTTGGCTCACGTGGACTCTCCACGATGCTCTCTGAGATGGTCTCACTTTCCATTGCTGTAGCTTCACTTGGTTCTTTCTCTTCCGGTTGCTTCACTTCCTTGACTTCTGGCTTCTTTTCTTTGGATGATCCTTCAGATGCGTTTTTTTCTTCGAATGATGCTCTCCATTGCAGCAGGGATTTGAGGGGGCGACGAGGCTCTCGAGGACCCACGCTGGTTGTGGGATTGGGTTTAGCAGCGACTGTAAACGGTCGACTGCGCTCCTTTAGAGAAGAGCTCCTCCTCAGGCTCTTCAGTTCAGCCCGGTCTGAGCTCTGGAAAGATGACGGTGCCTCATCCTCTGGAGGCCATTTTCTCCAGGATCGGCTTGATGTAACCCCCTCTGCGAGTGGACTAAGTGGCGACGCTGTAGATTGACTGTCACCAGCCTGAGGAGGCCAAGCGATCCTCAGCCTGCGCTTCTCAGCTGGCTTCTCTGCTGGTTTCTCACCGGAGCTACCCTTTGTTTGCACGCGAGTCTCCAGTAATGCAGTAAGGTCGGTAACCTTAACCTGTGGGGATGTTTCCACATTTGGGTCTGGCTCTGCATCTGAGATACTCTCAGCTCGACGCGTCACCTTCGCTGGCTCCTCTTGTTCTTTTGGCTTCACAGTTTCCTGATTTTCATCTCCATCAGCTCGTGGTTCCCACAGCTCTTTATGGGGGCGGTGGCCAAAGCCTTCATCATAGTTGCCTTTGGATTTGAACAGCTGGCTGAAATGGGGCTTGCAGTAGATGTTACCATGCAGAGACGCAAAGTTCGCCAAACTGGAAACAGAAAGTAGCGAGGGGGATTATTTTGCTTAACCAAAATCCTAAATGCTTCAGTAGAAAGCAACTACAGACACACTTAGCTCCCTTAGAATCTGCTCAGACATATACAGAAGATTGTGCATCTGTAACAAATGAGAAAAAAAATAAAAAGTAGAAGGAACACAGATTGTTACCTGAGCTTTGTGCTGCAGTGGACACAGCGGAAGCAGCTTTTGTGGTAGATCTGCTTATGAGCCTCTAGTCTCTCCAGCGGGTACACTGTTTGCAGACAAGCGATGCATGTCTCTCTCGCCGGAGGGCAAAACTTCTAAAAAGAAAAATACAGACAAATGTAATAATAATTAACAAGAGCTGAAATTCTTTACTACTGGTTTCTGTCTGCTTTTTGCTGTCATGACTCACCCTGATTGCTTTGGGCTGCTCGGTGCTCTCCCCTGACACACAAAAAACCAAAATCAGCTCTGTTGCTGCTTAGTCATTGAGAAGGGCAGACAAACCAAACTAGATCTTGTTCTGGCTGCCAAAGTTATAAATCTCAAGTTACATTGTACAAAATGAAATATACACAGAAATATGCGCTCCAAGTATCCTGTAAGACTAACCATTGCACTCAGGGGCAGTCGCGTGTTTCTCATTTACAGGTGCTGATGTTTGTGGAGCAGACACCTCTGAGGCCAGACCCTGGAGGAAACACATAAAAAAGAAAGGACACACAATAAATCATTATTTAGTTCCCTACTTCTCATACAGACAGGAAGACAGAAATTAAAGACGGAAAAGTGCAAACAATACAGTAACTTCAGTCAACGGAAAGAACCATAAGTCATCAATACAAACAGTGATTCCATTACTATGGAAACTTTGCTTTTAGCTTGTTAACAAATATAGCTAAAACTCATTCATCTGAACTTCCAATAACACTGTTAAAGATTGCAGTTTTTCATTCATATTTAAACCAACTACACTATTTTTAAGTGACCTATTTCTAAAAACACAGATGTGTGAAAACATTACTGCACAACATTTGGCTATGGTTATTGCCACTGACCCATTTGAAAATCTCAATCAATAACACTTGAAGTGAATGTTTTAATCTCTGTGTTTTATGGTTTTTAAAGCTGTAATGCTGGACTTTTATATGTGAAATGACTGTGTGTCGCATTCAAGCCCATACTAAATGAGGGCTATCAGTGCCAGGTAAATCTCTGTCTGTGACAAAGTTCTGGCACTGATGCACATGTGGCGGTGCATTTTACATCAACCAGCAATAATTTGCCAGAGCTGAAAAGGAGAGCAACTAAAGAGAAAGAGTAGGCTACAGCAGCAAGGAGTACAGCAGAGCCGATGGTGGAGAAACCAAAGGAGCATTTGAGAATGGTTTCTGATGCTCAAATTTAAAAAAAAGAACCACAGCATTTAGAGTAAGGATTTCTCAGCAGTTCAAAAAAGAAACTGCTAGAATTTGAGGCAACAGTTCCACTCTGCAGGTTTAAAATTCTCTCAACAACAGAGAAACTACATTCTTGTTGCTTATATGTTTTGAACAACTTTTACTGCATGAACTCACAGAGCGTGTAGTCCCTTGCTTAGAAGCAGCAGCCTGGTATTTGGCCATCTTGTCTCTCAGGGAAGACGAATCCAGTGCTCTGTCTGACACAGACAGACCTAAAGCAGAAGAGAGGTTCAAAGTGAATGCTTTGCCTGTCGCTGTTTTGCATTAGGTTCACGTTTATAAAGTTGCTGCATTGAACTAAATCAGCTGAGCTTAGCTTACTGCCGTGGTGGTCCATGTCCTCTGATGAAGTACTGCGTAATGTTGTCCTGCCACCCTAAAAGAGTAAAATGACTGATAAAATCAAAGGGCCAGTTTATGGCTTAAATCAGCCCCTACATTTATTTATCCATAACATTATACAGCCAGTAGGTGTAGATCAAATTCAGGCAGTTTCTGTCAGTGTACATGAGGCACTGCCTAACCCAATTCTCCTGTCTGTACGACAAATGAATACTATAAGACATCAGAATTTATGCAAAAGCATCACACACAAGTCCGCACTGTGCTGAGGACCAGAACCTGAGTCCTCACATAAAACAGTTAGAAATGGTTAGGTTCACACAAAACAACAAACCAAAAAGAAGTTTGAGAATCACCTATTGTGTTTCACGTATTGTCCACAATAACGCGTGGCATACAAAAAGCTTTAAAAAGTGTCTAGAGGGATACTACAACTAAAAGCCCATCCAATATGTATGATCACACAAAGACCTTTAGCCCAATGTCCTAAAAACATCTATGGAATATAATTCCTGAGCACCAAACTACCATCCATCTCAGTCACACTGCACTGAAGACTAACCAAACAGGGGTGATGAGTATTACCTGTTACCACCATATGTTTTGATCTACAGTAAATAATCGCCTTTAATATGTGACAGAAAAAAATGTTAGAGGAAATTTGGAAGCATAAATAAAGTGCACATATATTACAAAGATATCCATCTGACACCCTACACAACCAGCACGCCTGCTATCTACAGGGAAGGCCATCTATATGTGTTTAACCTGCAGTCAAAGAACTCAAAACTACAAGAAAGCACTTAACTAAAAGAATGAGCTTTGTGGGTGTGTGTGCCTGCATGCCCACGTGTCACCAAGACTAATGAGTAAACCAGACAGTTCCTCTCAGCGGTTATCCAGTACACACATGAATGGAAAAGAGCTTTGGCCAATTAAAACACTCCTTTTCTTCAGGCTGATTCACACAGGAACTGTGGAGTGCTGTTGTGTCACCAGCTTCCGCTGCCAAGCAAATCCTAGCAGTGACTAGACTGTAACATACTAAAAGCTGCGGCTGAACTAGTTCAAGGATGCAATAAACTATTGTACTTGATTAGAAGGGTGTTCAACCTTTTCAGACAGTGTTATAAAGCCCTTAGTCGTGCCTGTAAATGTTAGAAATGTGAACTGTCTTCTTTCCTAGTGGTGATGTAATGGTGTGAAAATACTACAACTTGCAAAACTGGAGAACCAAAACACAACAGCGAGAGTAAAATGACATGACAGGGAGCATTGTGTTCCTTTCATTCGATTGAAAATGTGAATTTACAACTGCAGCAAACTTAAAAACTAAAACTGAGTCCCCAGACTGGGAAAATCCCATGGAAGACCAGAATATACAGTGCAGCTAATGAAAAGTGAGATAAAGACAATTGCTTCTCAGAGGTGATCCTGTGAAGAATGAGAAAGCCCTAGGTCAGGAATGTTCCTGCATTCCTCTGCTGCAGAAGGTGAAGAGTGGAGTGCTTGTTGTTTTGGGCTGAGAGGGTGAAAGACAGAAAGAATGAAAGGGAGAGACTAAGATGGGTGGGGGAGAGACAGGGCTAGATCCAGGTGGAAGAAGACTGCTTCAGAAAACACAGGAAACCCAGTACAACAGAGAAAGTATGTTTAAAAAAGAAATAGTGTGAAGGGAAGTGAAAATCGTACACACACATATATATTTGCATTGCACTGAATATTTGTGCACTGACAACAGTGTCGTAGACAGGGAAACTTGGCTTTAACTGAAAAGTTTTGTATCAGTCAGAAAGATTTATGTCCTCTTATATGGCTTTAATAATGTAATTGCTTTCAAATTATTTACAAAACTCCCAATAGAATTATTACTAATTGTTGTTTTCGGTGTAGTTTAATATAAGTTACATTTGATTGTTTTTTCCCTGTAAAGTAGGTCACTTCATAGACGACTGCTGTAGCAATAAGGCTTATAAGTTAAGATGTAAGATTTCCTGCAAAAATGCTAAGAAAAAAAAAAAATTGTGGTTGCAAGTTCAGGTTATGCAACATAGAGTTAGCCACATGTAAGAAAAACTGCAGCCTTTTCTCAAGAGGGGTTCAAAAAATATGCTGATGCTTTACAAGACTGACCAACACCAGCACAGTAAATCCCACCATAAACATTGTGGTTACAGTCAGTTTGGGAGATACAAAAATGCACAGCTGTAAAAGAGCGGATAAAGATGAAACTAAGAGCCTCTTTCATGAAGTATTCATAAAAACAAACATGATCTCTATCAATGCTGAAAGTATACACAAACTAAGATGTGTGGCAGTTTTGTAGTACTGTGCTGTTTGGACAGTGTTTGTACTTGAGTTGGGTAAATACTATCGTACAAAGAGAATGTCCTAGTGCGTGTGTTTTTGTTTTTTTTTATACTGTCCCCAAAATGTACAGAAAGTGATGATCTTCTGCAGTAAATGTGTTTGTAACTGCCTTTTGATGGATCTTATTTACGATGAGCACAGACACAGTAGCAGGATTACTCACGGCTTAATATTTTACCTTGGCACTGGTGTCTTCTCTCTTCTCAAACTTCATCTTCAGGTTGTTCAGTGGCACTCTGGGTTTTTCAAAAGAGGCACACGGGCTGGTTGGACTTTGCTGTTCAAGCTTGTCAGGTCTGCTGCTGTGTGTCAACTCATCCTTGTCCATCCCTCTTTGTTCTTCACCTTCTTGAGCTGCTGAGGGCTGCTGGACACGACTGGCTGTATGTTGACCCTCCTGCTCGGTCAGCGGGCCGGGGCTCTTTACTGGAGGACGTTGCTCGCTGGTACTAGTGGGCCTGGTCAGGGCAGGAGGCCTGCGGCGAAGGCTGGACTGGCTTGTAGGTGGAACTGAAGAAGGCTTGTCCTGATCACGGTTTCCCGCTTGTTCCCAGCGCTTCTTCAGAGCACTCAGGTTGCCTGACCGCAGGGAAGGAGTTGCACTGTCAAAAGCCTTTGAGGATGACAAGAAGACAATAACAAAACTGTAAGTATGCTATGCTTACCATGAAAAAATGATTCACAAACGCTGACAACAACAAGCAGTAGTTTTATTCTTTACAAAGAACAAAAGTATTTACATTTGTGAGAAAGGCATATACCGGGTTAGACATGCCACTTGAGCCTCAGTTCAATACAATGGAATAAAGGAAATCTCTGAATCTGAACTTGGCTTTACTGATAGATTAGGAGAACAGCTGTTCAAAGTTGGTTCAGGAAATAGATGCTAAGCTGTGGCTGCTGAAGTCCTAACGGACGGCTCAAGATGGAGATAACAGGGCAGATTTTTCAGCTGCATTCCTGTCCACATGACAATTTCACCTTTCCCAAAAACACTCAGAATGGCTCCGTTCACCGCTCATTTGCTGCCATTAATGGCAGTGAAACAGCAGCAAACAGCATGACAGAACTACAGGAGGCACACTACTGCCTGCAGGAACTTCCTTAATTACAAAAGAGGAATGACACACTAAAGAAAGAGGATCTGTATGTAAATCACCATGTTTAAGTAAACTAATCAACTAATAAATCATAAAGCACAATGAACGCTTTTGTTTGAAAGCTTTCTGTCTGAGTTCTTGTCTGTTGTGAGCATTGTAACACCGTTATGTTATTATTAAAACCACAAATCATCCAAATACTAACTAAGAATATATTTTCAACTTAATTTAGAGATTATTAGAGATGACAAACAAAAACAAACAACTGCTAACCAAAAGTCACAACTATCTTAGCCTTAGTACATCAAATGAATAAGGTACATCAAGAAAAAGTTATATTAACAGGCAGACGGACAATAAAAAAGAAATAAGACATAATAATTTAAGAAAAAGGGAGTAAACAAAAGGGACAAATCCCCAACAAAGGACAAAAAAACAGAAGCACAATTACTGTCTTTGTGAGGCAAGTCCAGAGTGAATAGAAAGAACTAGACAGTGACGAGATTGTTCCCCATTTTTCCAGCAAAAAGGAAGAAAAAAAAAAAAACAAGAAACCTTTGTGAACGCGATGAAGTGGCCAAACTGGATGTAACCACAACAAGACAGCAAGGAAAGTGAGGGTCCTTTGGTTGGTCCTTCTTTACAGGTCAGCGTGCTGAGAGACAGCGAGAGATAGAGTTCTCCCAGATGTTAGCAGCTACACAAAATCTACTTGTAAGAGCTAGTCCAACCCCTTTAACACCAGGAAAGTGAAAGAGAGAGAGAGTCTGAATACCCAGGAAACCAGAGCAGGAAATGATACATTCAGGGAAAAGTTAACTCTTTGTTCACTGTTTCGGCTTAGATTTTTTTCCACATTTACATCATTTCAGAAGATCATTCTACTAAAAATCGACAGACGCTACAAATGTTTTAGTAAAGAAAAGAAAAAGGCACAAAAAACAAAACATATGACAAGTTAAAATAACAAACAGGGACATTAAAGAAGAAAACTATTCAAAGGTTTAAAACTGCACTTATAGCTGAGCTCAGATAATAGTTTCTTCACAAAATACAGGCTTTAATAACAGGGCAGTCAATTCTTAACTTGATATCAGGGCTTTGTCAGAGGAGACACATCACACAGTATTAAGGAAAATGCTGACAATTCAGCTTGAAGGCCACTGATTTATAGAAAAAAAAAATTGTTGCTTATTCTGTTGATTATTTGCTTAATTATTCGATTGGTTGTTTGGTCTGTTAAAAGTCACAAAATGGTGAAAAACATCCAAATTCGCATTTTCAAATATGTTGTTTTGTCCACAGCCTGAAGATATGCAGTTTACTGTCATAAATGAGTGAAGTAACCAGAAAATATGCATATTGAAGAAGTTGTAATTAGAAGATTTAGACCTTTTTTTCTAGTAGTTGGTAATAATTATATTGTTGACGACTAATCAAAAAATAACTGGAGCTGTATGTAACGATAAAACTAACCAAGATCACTGTATAAAACCAAGTGTTCTGTCCAACACTGCCCTATAATGCCACAGTAGCATGATCAAACAGCAATAAAATCTACTGTCCTTCAAGTACTGCGTCATTAATTCTAATATCAGCTGCCAAAACAGAGATCATAGGGACCAATTTTCAAAACGATTATGATAAACCTAAAAAAAATTCGTACATTTTCTTGCTAATTTTCTACTATCACGTTATTGCAACAAATGAAAACAGTGTTGGGATAAATTAACAAAACTAAATCTCAGACTCTTATGGCAACCATTTTCCATTTATCAGTGAATCTGTTAGTTATGTCTTAAATAACTGGCAAAACAGAATGACAAACAACCATCATAAGTTATAAAGTGAAGTCCCCAAACTGGTATTTTTAACAACTTCCTGCCACGTAGTAATGCAATTCATTAAATGGCCTCACTATTTCACGGTCATGTTTGAAAAATCCCCCTTCCCCCAACCACGCTCACACACAGACAGACAGATGGTCTTTTACGGTGCTCATTCAAATTTGGCCCAGACACATTAGAATAACTAGTGTAAACCACAAATATTTTAACCAGACTTCTATATCCAAGTCATTGTGGCGCCAGTTCATGTACTCACATATTACTGGTTGCAGAAACTTGGAAGTGTCCAAAAATCAACTAAAATGAATCTGGCTAAAATGTAAATTACTGCAAACTGTTATGGTTAGTCCTAAACTTTGAACTTGCAGTGCTTGGCAGAAATAAAGTTATTTACAATTCCATTGCATCTAAGAAGCACAAGACAGCTGTCTTAATATACATTCATACCACATTTCTATCTGTCATTACTAGCCAGGTCATTAAACAAAGAGTAAATACATTTTTCAAGCTTTTCAAGCTGCTGGCTCACACACACACATATTGATAAACTACCACCGTACTACACGCAGCCTTGGCAGCATTACCTTATATTTCTTCATGGTTTTAGCTGATCAGTCACTCATTTAATCTTAGTCCAGATTTTGCTCATCAGTCTTTCACACTGACAAAGCTGCTAACCTACAGTTGGAACTACTGAGAGCATTGTAGAGGATTAAACTGAAGTAGGATTATGGGTTTGATAGCCTGCCCATCGCAACAAGTGGCCAATGAGGGGTCAGCCCGGACAAGACATCTGGCCCAGACAGAGTGTTGGCATGGTGAGTGTGTGTGTGTTTTATGTGTGCACTCCTCATCTCTGCACGCTTTAATTAGTTTAGCGCCTTTAGCAGCTACTGAGCAAATGAAGGGAGACATGCGGTACACAAACATGCACTAACAATTTATCCACTTAACAGTTTAATCTTTGCGTGACAAATCTCAGCCTCCATTAGCATATATCAAATTCAAGAACAACTGTTTCAGTAAGTCAGAGATATCTCTACACTGATGTCACTGGGAAATAAGATGTTTCTACCATCCATTCGGTCAACGAGCCAAACAGAAATACTTACGGCTTTTTTCTTCTCTGCACTTGTCTCCTCAGCAGCTCTCTGGTACCTAAGAAAGGAGAACACAACACTGACATCTGGTGACTCAAAACAAAACGCAGCATAAAGAGTGTAGTTTTCTAAAAATTTTGAAGGAATGGTTTAAATTATTATTATTTTTTTTTAACATTTTCAGTGGGAAATGCTAGTTTATTTTTTTTATTTCAAATAAGCACTGTGAAATACGAATAATAAATTACACTATGCTATGAGGCTGTAATGGCCCCGAATTTCAGTAAAACATCATCACTTGTTTTCTGGTTGCAGAAAACACATGCACTCAATGACAATTTGAACTTCTAATGTAATAAAATGTATTTAAAACATGGTAAAACAGAAAAGGTGATCAAGATCAAAAGGGCCATACAGGCAAAACAGGTATGTAGGATATTGTCATCTAGCAATGTATTTAGTATTCAATAAATATTAGCATTTAATATAATGCAAATTGGCAAATTGCACACATAGAAATTAACAACCAACATTTCTATAAACTAGGCGTTACTCACTTCGAGAAGCGCTCTGCAATTGCATTGGATTTCCCTCGGCCGCCGACGAGTGACAGCTCCCTCGCAGTGATGCGCAAGGACTGCGTCGCCCAGGACCTTCGATTGAATGGACCGCTTTCCATCGCTGTCAGTTACCTGAAACGCAAACACACCCAAAGTAAGCACCATGTGTTACAGCACATGTTGTAAATCACCCACTATTGAAAGAAGGTGGGGGCTGTGTAGTGTCTGATCAAGTTCAGGCATCACCATGCTACCACTGACCAGTCTGCTTGTTGCAATAAAATAATCACCCTTATTGCATCAGACTGAAAAACACTGACTATGTTCATATCTTCAGTCAATAACCATGTACACCGCTGCACTGAATGGTGTCATCCCACAACCTTTGCTGCTTTATTCAGAGCCTGCATACAATCAAAGCTAGCCAAAAAAAAAGCCCTGACTTCCATAGAGAATTTAAAACAATGCAATTAGAAAATTGCAAAGGCTTCAATTTAGGAATTAAAGTATGTTACACTGATGTTAGACAAACTCATGCTGTCCCAGTTGTGTGACAGTGTCGTTTTTGATGGTGTCTCCTGTAGCAATGCTCCCTCATGTTTTAAATCTATTACACAGTGATACTGAACTTAACTTTGAAAGACTATTTCGCAAATCAGATCACAATACCTGTCAGAAAAATTCCAGAATTGTTTGTCATCACTTCGTGTAATGGACCTCTCCCTTGTCTTGTCTGCATTTTTTAGCGATCAGTGCACCTTTCATTTGACCATAGTGACTTAACATCTACCGGTTGTGTGTTTTAGGCCATAGAGATCATACTGACACAACTGCCTGGAAATATCAGACAAGATTTACACAGACAATAAAGCCTTTGTTTGAAAGAATAAACAAGTTTGAAATCTATCCTGACATATACAGACTTGTGAGAAGGTTGATGTCAGTGTCAAGGTTTTTGTCTGCAGAGGAACTGTCTTCTGCCTGTGATCACTGATTTGCAAGTTGCTCTCTGTGCCACTTTTCGTCTCGTCACACCCCCACTACCTGACATACATACCAAAGAGTGCCTGCACGTTGGTTTATGTGCTCATACAGTTCTGTATGCAAACACACGAGCCAACATGTTCGCACTTGCACTCGAGCTCGTGCCGCTTGATTGCAAGGTGGAAACGCAAGCTGAAAACAGCTAAGCTGAGCGTGAGCACGTTATCATTATGAGGGGATAACTCACCAAGGGCAACATGCACAGAGAACCAGTGTAAAACAGAGTGCCATAACCGCAATGCGTAACACACACATGTGCGCACTCAGTTCTTCTTCCTGAATTATACCCTGACAAACCCATACTTTGCTGAGCGCTAATTGATGAGCCTCTGATACAGTTTTCTATGTCAGGAGTCCCTTCTTTAGTGCTCAGACGCTACGTCGACTGTGCGCAAACCATAAACTGAAATCACTGTCTACATGTGATAGATTCAGTAATCATTTATTTTTCTATCTGGGTCATTTCACTGGGTGCACATATTACATCACCACACAGATGCAAAGCAATACTGGTGACAAGTAGTGTGAGGACTTTGGACTGAACTTTCACACAGCCTCAACTCTTAACACTCAAAAGCCGAATGCAACTACTTTTCTTAAATTTTACCCTCAGGATTAGCAATTTGGATAAATACTATATTGAACTGTGCATATTACATATTAGCAATCTGTATTTCTATTTAATTATAAGCAACTACTGACACATACTCTCAGGCTAGTGTCTGCTCTGGATAAGCAGAAACAAAGACTAACAAAAGAAAAACTCAAGCTCTACACAGTTTGATGCTATGAAGGACAAACCACAGCTCAAGCACTACCTATAACTGAGTCGCTTGAAGCTATTTATTGTCGCAACAACTTTCTAAGCCTGACAGGCGAGTTGGTTTACTCTGTCAATTGACTACTGAACTGAAATTTGATGATGGTGGTGAACAGGCGCTTTATATTAGTTAACATATCCTTTATAAACTGTATGTCCTTCTGCATGATGTCAGGGAGCTAAAGCCCATTCCTGCATGCACTGAAGGAAAGGTAAAGACACACCCTGAACAAGTCCCCACTCCGCTGCAGCAACAATACAGGTCGACTGAGTTTAGAGTCGCCTATCCACCTCTTTTGCATATCCTTAAACATTAGATGGCTGAAGGAAGCCAGAGCAACCGAAGAAAACAGAGAAAAAATGCACTCATTGCAAAGACAACAAGGCTTGAGAATCAAACCTGTCCTACTTGCTATAAGTGCACAATGAGAATAGTACAGGTTGGCTGTGATGTGCACTTAATAGACAGGAGCAAAATTACTGATTTAAATAAGGATTAGGGAGGGGCCATTTGTTTTTCTCTCTGTATGGGAACACCATCTAAGTGCAAATTTATGTTCCATCATTTGGTTTGGAAACCAGGAAGTAAAATATACAAAACCAATTTATGACCCTCCGCGATTATGACAAGTATTGTAGGACAGGTGATGATTCCATGAAGGAGTCTTTGCTTTCATTTCCAATAACTCCACATCTCCTTGCATCACCTTTCTTGATTCAAGGTTCCAATAAGATCATTGCCTCAGTCTGACAAACACAGGTAACAGAAGTTTTACAAAAGCTCAACAAAGGCAGCCCTGTTTCATCAAGGGGCTGAAACACACTGCAAGTGGAACCTTGAAACCATCACAGGCTATCTGATATATGAGCTTTTGAAATCTGATAAGCTAAACTCCAGAATTAAGATCTCCCCCACCCCTTGTTATCAGTGAGACATTGATATACAGACCTTTAGCCCTCACCTAAAGTTAAGTGCTTGGTAGCATCAAGTAATCTCAACGCTTTCAGATATAATGAGTCATAAGTAAGGAGGAGTTCACCTTGCTGTATTGACACATAATTGGCCTGAGAGGCAATTATTCTTAGAAACAAAAGCACAAAAAATCAGCTGTTATTACGAAAACAACAGCCTGAGCTGAAGAGTCAGTACTCAGGCATGCAGGAAAGAGACATGACTTAAAGACTGGCAGCTCTGCTCGGAGGCCAACATGTCATTTGAAGAACTTTAATTACAGGCGTATCAGTGAGCGCCTGGTAAAGACCGTTTATGACTGGAGTCGAAAAAAAAGCAAGACAAACTACGGTGATACACTGTATAACACGGATTTATACGCTCACGTATAATTGTGTTTAATGTAAGTTCAGCTGCGACTGATGAGATCTGTGACTGAGCCAAGAACAGAGACTCAGCAGCTGGACTGGTTTGGCATCGATCAGCTCGAGCACAGAAACTGAACTGGGTGTGCGCACGTGCGATATTTGTCAAAAAAAAATATTAATCCAACAACTAAAGCTAAACAAACACAGGCTTGCTCAAACGTTGAAAACACACCGTTTTTATATTAGTTATTAGAGTTATTTACGAATGTTTCTATTTTCTTGCTTTAGGTTTCGTCTTACCTGTAGGAAGTTCCCGTTGAGCCACTCTTTTTGTGAAACCTGTGAGACACCTGACACTTTGTGCTGCCGCTGCGTCACCGCCCGGTGTGCACCGACGGGGGCGGGGCCAATCAGGAAGGTGTCAGGGGAGTGGAAGAGCCAGGTCATGTGACTTCATGCGCCAATGACCTTAGGTATTACGTTACTCCTACCTGGGAGAATGGTGTTTGTGTGGATGCATGGTGCGCTTGCATGCCGACCACCAACATTCCTCAGAGAAGCAGACATTTTTCAAGTGAAGAGAAGCAGCTACACTGAGCGTGCCAAGTTGTTACAGTGACTGTCATATTATTATCATTATCATTATCATTATTATTGTTGTTATGTTGTGCTGAGTACAAGTTTAGTGATTACGCAGCCCACTTTTTTTTTAGTAAGCAAAAGAAAGTTCCTTTATCCATTGCATTTAGCTGATGAATTGTATTTTATAAAGTCTTGTCTAAACTGCCAGTTGTATTTAACTATTCTATTATTATTTTTATTGACCTAATTCTATTTCATTTGTTTTTCTATTGTACACTTTATCTTTTATGTTTTAATTTATATTTAAATATTTTTATGTTATATAGCTGTATTTTTTATGTCATATCTTTTACATTGTGTATTTATTCATTTATTTATTTATTTATTTTTACCATTGATTGTAATTTGAAAAAGCTCTGTGTATGATGAGGTGGTATGCTTGCTCAATAATAAGAATAATAATGATAATCATCGTCATAATATAGAATCTTTGACACACACAAAGTGATTTTAAAAAAATAAACAAAGAAATGTGCAGACAGACAATCAAGACAGTTTAAATGTTCATAAGTCAGAAGTGTCAATGCAAAGACATGTACTATATAAACAGCAGTTTACAACTGCAAAGCAAAAGAAACGTGCACCTTTGTGTGACCTTGTAGTGTTAGTTGTAATAGGAATACAACAGGTTGTGGCAGTGCATGGTGCACGCAATGTTTGCATGATATTTGACTTCTAAATGAAGACCAGCTGGATGGTTGACACTGCAAGTCATTTTAAGTTCATTCAGCTTAGAAAACTCACTTTTTCCAAGCTGAGCTGCCTTCACAATGTTAGGTTGATTTATTTGTTCAAAGTCATTTTATGAGTTGTGAAAGTCTTAAACTAGCTGAGTTAAATTAAATGAACTTTAGAAAACACCTTTAACAAACTGAAGTTATTAAGCTTGATAGTCACAAAAACAACAGTTGCAGACAGACTTAATTTTCTAAGTTTAAAGAGTTTCTTTCTCATTAAACTTTGGCAACATACAACCTCAATGTTTGAGTCAGAATTAGTAAATAGAATAGAATAGAATAGAATAGAATAGAATAGAATAGAATGATTTTTTATTGATCCCCCATTGGGCAAAATGTACACGCCACAGCAGCATCCAAAAATATAGAAAGTACAAGAAAATAACAATAATCAAGTAATATGCATCCCCGGTGTCCGCACACAGCAGGTCCAAGGCCCCACTGTCTCTGGCTGGTCCACATACTGGCAGAATGTGGGGAGAGTGGTAGAGAGCGATGTATGATTAAAGTCTCCTGAGATGACGATCAGAGACTGAGGGTGTGATGTTTGCAGCTGGAACACTGAACTATGGATGAGTTCACAGGTTGCAGCAGCATCAGCCGAGGGAGGGGGGGGGTGTAAACTGCAATCGCCAGGATGTGCGAAAACTCCCTCGGCAGGTAAAACGGCTGCAAACCAACCGCCAGCAGTTCAACATCCCTAGTGCAGCACCACTCTTCAACACTCACGTGCCAGCATTACACCATCTCTCATTCACACACCTGGTGAGTCCCCAGCCTTTTTTCTTACCACTTTCCACTTTTCTTACCACCTCTTCTTAAAGAGCCAATCTGAGAAGCTGCTCCCAGTTAGGGTGGGATACATTATAATCCTAGAGTTGTAGGGACTGAATTCAATATTAACTTTTGTCATGGTTAGAACTGTTTTGATGATTACAAAAGGAAACAAGTATAACTTCATTGTATTATTGAAGACACACAAGACGTTTCTGCTGTGTCTGTTTTCTCAAACTACAAAAAGGAGTTTTAAATCACTAACAATGCATCCTGGGAAGTGTGACATTTCAATTTAATTTAAATGAAAATGAGCAGAGCATATACAGTATATTTATATTAGGCAAATTAGAAAAGATAAGTTGATTTGACCAAGTTCCTTTATCATGTTTTACAATGTGTAAAAAAGTCAAATCCTCGCATTAATTTGAAGCTCTTTCATTCTCCAGTGTTGGCAGGCATCCATTATGCTCAAGCCTTGGAGCAAGGCAGTGTCTCTTTTTCACCTCAGGGCTGTTAAAGTGAAGTGAACTAATAACACTGAACTCTTAAGTAAAGGGTGTAAGTCAGGAAAATGACAAAGTCTCTTTTTAAGTTCACTTAAAGGTGAAACTGTCAGTGTCATCCTGTAACTACTCAAAGGATTGCACATCTGTTAACTTACACTAAATGGAACAACACTTTTGTTCATCTCTAAAGTTAAAAGATGATTTTTTGGCTATGCAGCTCTTTAATGGAAATCTGTTGTTAATTTAAAACAGCATGGAAAAAATATTCCCTTTAAATGAAAGAAATTATTGATGTCCTACTTTCAAAATAATGAATAATGTGCCATGTTCACTATATGGAGCTAACATCACCATAGGTGAGTTTAATGGCTGAATTTTTTTATTTTATTTTTTGCATTGCTTATACAATATAGAATATATGGACATTATTTTCTCTGATTTCCAAGAAATCATCTCATTTATCAGTTATTTTCTTTTTCTTTCTGAAAGTGATATTTAAAACACAGAATCAATTTCATCAACTTAAAAGCTACTAAGCAAAATTATGTCTGTTGTTTAGCAACAGTGTTCTCATAAGTTACGGTCTTTTTGTTGAAATTCTCACAATGTAAAGTCTAACTAAAACAGCAAAATCTCAATTTCCTTCTGACAAGACAGACAAGAACAGATGGTTTGGGTCAATTTTGACTCGGACCATTCTGTGAAGAATTCCTGTCAAGAATTCCCTCATAGTAAGTGTCTATACCATTTTTTTCTAAATAGCATCTGTCACATTAGTACATGTAAAGAAAAAAAAAAACATACCTAAAACATGGCCTGTACAGTTTCACAGTTTCAAGATTCCCTAAAACCACCATTTTCCTTGATTTGGCCCACACTGGTAGATCTAAAATCCCCCTCAATGGATACCAGACAAATTTGACCCGAAACAGCCTCAGTGTACAAAAATATAACATTTTAAAATATTTTCATTTTTGTGTATTTGTGGTCACTTTTGGAAAAGTCTGAAAATTTCAGGCTAAAAGACTGACATTTAGGGCGTTTTTACAACTGTCAAATGTCAAAACGGGTCAAATTTGACCCGAAACAGTCTTTAAGGGTTAAGTGTTTCTTAGGTAGAGTGGCTACGTTTTGATCTTGCATAATTCACAAAAACGTGGAGTCAGTTTTAAAGCTATCAACTATGATGTTTCCATGTATAGGTGTGAAGAACCAACTGTTAAATATACTGAACAAAAATAACAGGGCATGTAATACTTCATTAAATTCTAACCTTTCATTTTATCACAGGGAAATGAGTACTTGCTGTTCCAACACTCGGCATCTCAACAATAGAACTGATGTCATGTATCAATCAAGTATGCACTATGTTGAAAATGATAATGAGCAGATTAAGTGTGAAGTCATAGAACTCACAAGTCGGTATGAGTCACATATCTGCAAAGCAGAGAGGTAATCAGGTTGTTGCTGCTGCTTGTGGAATATGGTCCCACTCTTCCTGAAGGACTTGACCATCCAGAGAATCATATGGTAGACTGTCTGTGGTACCATGCTGTCTGAAATGATTTCTTAGACAACAAATGGTGAAGTTATGGACATTCAAGTGTCTGGCTACAGCCCTAACTGACATGCCAGCATCCAGCAGCCAACAACCCATTCACGTCTTTCTCTTGTCCTTTGTGGCACTGTGTCATTTGAATAAAACTGCATTTTAATGTGGCCCCTTATAGTCGCTAGTCAAAGGAGTGTCTGTGTACTGGTCACACTATCTGATCATTGTTATTTATAGCAACACCTGACAAAGGTGTGCATTAACTCAGTGGTTGAGAATTTATCAGCAACTGAACAGCTCTAAAGCTTTTTGTGCACAATCAGCTAAATGTAATCCTACTCTAGCCATCAAAATAAACATTTGATTTGTAACTTTTTTCTCTAAATCAGAAAAGAAGACTATTTGCATGCTGCACTTATATCTTTGTTTCGTGTACATTAATCCTCTTAACCCTCAAACCCCTCAATGGGTTAGAAAATCGTGTCATCTTTTCTAAGATCATGTGTGATGTGTGGTTTCGTCAGGAACATTAACCAAATTTAACCTCAAGATCATATTTAATCAAAATCACTTTATTCTACATCTCTTGTCCATAAAACTGCTAAAATATAAAGCACTCATTGTGACCAGATTCTGTAAAAAGCAAAGCATTCCTTGGCACAACCATGAGCTGCTTTCTGACTCATCTGTGGTCAGTAGTTATATGACAAAAATTCTGAAGCATTTACTCTGAATTGGGGTGAACTGCAGGCTGTGTTTAGACAGATCAGATAGCGGACTGGTGTGGAAGCAAAATAAAAATGTCCCAAAAAAAATTCTTGAAATCTCTGTAGCATGTAGAGTAACCATTTTATATCATATCGCCAGTGGGCCCTTGGAAAATGTTGGATACATATATAAGAAACTGAACTTTAGCTTAAAAAAAATAAAAAATGTATGGCATTTTAGTGTAAAAATGACGTTCTGAGTTCTCTCTTCTTTTAACCATGGTTGTGCTGTTTCCATAGAGGTTCTGGACATTATGCTGCATTGAAAAATCACCCAGTGTCAGTGAAAAAAAACATGTGACAGGAGTAAAAAAAAAAAATAAAAAATGCTATCACTAATCAGTGATTTCCCAACATGTCAATTTTAAAATATCCAAGGCCAACAGTGAACAAAACCAACATCACCAGATTAATGAGAATTTGGCTATTTATTGACTTTACCGTCGAAATCTAGTATGATGCACAAAAAGGTGCAAAGTGCAGAATGAAAAGAAATCAATGCTGACACAATTAACGATGACGTCATTGCTCGTGCACAGCTATTAAATAAAATTAATTAAGTCTGCAACAATAAAGGATGCAACGACCATAATAATGATTGCAAGCATACAATAGAAATAATTAATATCGGGGCCAGAGGGGCACTTCAGTAAACAGGGCAGAGCAGGAGCGGAGTGATCCATTATAATCACCACTGTTTGTCTGCACGTCCCTGTTTTCTGTCATTTTCACTGTTCACTCCTTCCTTTTCATCTGCGTCTGTTCAGCGTGAATCTGCTGCAAACTGAGGGAGGCCAGCAGCAGCAGCAGCAGCAGCACAACAACACACAGACACACAGCGTTAGGTGGGCGTCTCATCTCCA